GGGGACAAAACAAATTCGGAAGCGGGAGCCCATACCTGAAAGCCAAGGAGAGGCGAGGGTAGTGCCATCCGAGACAATTTGCAGAGGCACACCATCAGAATCTGCAAAATAAACTCGCACGCTTCCGGCGAGGTTGTCTTGTGGGAAATGTATCATGCTAAGTGCCTTGGGTTGACCCGGATACATTGTCTCCCATTGAGGGTTCGTAATCCGTGCCAGGGGTTCATGGGAATGCGCCCGCCAACTCGTTTCGTTGAACAACCTGACGACTACGTTGTTATCGGGGAGCTTGTTGTCAAAGGACAAGTACGCCCCAAGAACGTCGTTAAAGCAGCTGTCGCTGGCTGCTGGGCCGGAACAGACCCGTCGAGTTGCCGCCGCAATGTCTGACTTCTCGACGGCAATATTGTCGGCCATACCCGGCTGCTTGCTAATTTCCCTAGACTGTTCGGTCCAGTCCCATGCAGTGCGGTTGTTGACGGGCGTACTGATGCCGACCACCCTGTTCTTTTGCGTCTTGAAAAAGACATTCAACCCCGATGTACTCGACACGGCAGCCGCAAGAGACGTGCCCGCGGCAGGGAGCAGATCAGCAGACCCCAACCCGCCAGTGGTGGATTCCAGCGGCTTGAGCAATGAAGATACCCGGACCGGTGTCCACTTCCCGTTAGTCTCCAAGTAGGAGGCGAACAGGGTGCCGTTTCTGTCCTGCGATACCACGGCCCGGTATGTTTTGTTGTCATTCCCAACCCAGCTAGCGGCCGCGAGGCGGGCTTGCTGATGCAGACCCCCACGTGCGGTGCCGTTGGGAGGCGTAACTGGAGGCGCGGTGATGATTTCCGGAGTGTACTTTTTGTTCACAGTTGTCGCGACGGCGACTGCAACAATGAGGAGGGCAGCGATGGTCGCAACGGCCACAAAGAACCATGTCCGTCGTAATCCACAAATCGTGCCCGCCAGCTTCTTCTCCTTGGTACCGCGCTCCTGGTCATCCGCACCGTCTGGGACCTGGCTTGTGATTTCATGGAAGCCACGGACGCCCTCTTTTTCTTCATCACCCGCGTTTGGTTCCCCGGCATCGCATATCCCATTTTCGCCCGCCAATGCCTTCGCGACGTTCGGGCCGCTCGACGGCGAATAGCTGGCAATTGTCCCGCACTCAGTCGCGCTTTCGTTACGTCGCCGGAAGTCGTCGCTCCGGGTCGCTATCGGCGAGATGACAAAGGCTTCGTCTGGATAGTAGGACCTCCTCTGCGGAGAGCTGTGTGAGGGAGAGCGGGCGTCCTCGTTATCCGTCGATTCGGACCCTCGCTTGCCAACTCCAGGCTTGAATCCTATCGGGAAAACGGCCTGGGGGAGGCTCTCGTAGTCCCTGAAGGCCTCCTTCTGGAACATGCTATCCGGGGTCGAAATCACCTCCTTCTGGCCGAGGGGCTCGGACTCGTGGGCGGGCGGGCGGACATGCAGGTCCTGGGGGTCGTGGGCGCCACCCCCTCGTCGGTCCTGTTCGACAGGCATCCGCGCGACAGCAGGTGAATGAGGGGCGTGGAGAGAGTCGGACGAGGAGGGTTCTGGAGCTCGGGGCGCTGCATCACCGCATGGCGGATGGTCGCGATGTGCGTCTGCGGGGCTGTCGAGCCGACGGTGCGTGCGCGACGCGAAGACAGATCAGGGAGTCAAAAGTGAGGCCTCGGTAGGGTGCTCGACATGCTCGAGGACGGGCACGTCGCGGGTGGCCTCGCCCCGATGGGGCCCGGCATTTTCGGCCATTTTGGTTGCCTTGTACATGCACACATGCTGAATTCGTCGGCCAACAAACTGAACAAGAGATCCATTTTCCGAGGCCCTCGAGCGCGACCAGCCAGTCAGATCCAAGGCTGAGCCACAGAACGGGTCGCCCAGGCACGGAAACACGGCAGGGTGGTCCAAGGATGTGGGGCCCATGCAAGGTCCCCCGTGATAAGCGCTGATGATGTCAAAAAAACAGGGCTGGGTTAAAAGCACATCATCATGCACTTCACGTCTCAGCCATCTCGTTTATTCGTCCGTCCAACTCCACAGCACCGGATTCTGCCGGGCAGTCTGCGCTTGTGTAAGCAGCCTGCACGTGTCTGTAGATATGTAACCTAGACATCAGCCCTTGGCGCGTGGGAGCGGGCAAGCGTAAAACCAGATGCATCAACAAAAAGTCACCGCTTTCTGATGACGAAGGCTACCTCTAGCAATGATGATGAGAGCGAAGCCAACCACGTCAATTCAAGCTCGGCAGATAATAAAAAACGAAACAAAAGCCACAGGCAGGGGAGACTTGCGCAAGGTTGATCTTTACCCGTACCTGGGCTTCCCTCCTCCTCAGTTGCTGCTGCGACGGCGCGCGCGATCACTTGATCTTTTGCCCTTCTTGTCCTTCGGGCAGTCAGGCTCTCCCGCCTGCTTGTTCTCCTTCTTCTTCTTGGACTTCCTCGTGCCGGAGTCGACGGCATCTGTCGCCGCCGAGCTGCTCTCCCGTCTTTCCCGCTCCGCTCTTTTCCGCTCGGCCGTGCACTTGACGCACTGCTGGTACGTCGAGTGCACGGCGTCCGGGTGCTTCTCGCAGGAGGTCATGTGGCCTTTCCTGATGCAGACCTTGAGGTCTCCCATCTTGCCGCAGACGTCGCTAGAAGAATGCCAGATACATCGTCAGTCCCGTGTCCTGCGACTCAAGTGTCAGCCATAGATGTGTGTCTGTCCTACCAGTGGTGCTTTTGAGCCTTGCTCGACCTCATCTTGTCAGAGGGCGATGTTCTTTTGCGAGGGAAGTTGGTCTACTGGGGTTTCCTGCCGCCGCAGTCCGGAAGTCAATTGTAAGCTCGAGGGAAGAAAGAGATTCCAGATCCAGGCAGCTGTCGCCCTTGGGCAACCCATCCTCTGAAGTGTAAATATCCACGAACCTAAATTCCCGTCCAATGCGATGCTTGTGGCGATCAAAAAGTCAACTTTCTCGTCGGCTGGCGTGGGCGGATATAGACATCCGTTTGTGGTAGCACAGAAAAGCCACACCCGGGGCTGGGGAAGGGGACAGAGGGCCTAAAAAGCTCCACCCATGTTGCTGTTTGCTTCCGCCTCAGTGCTGGATGATTAGATTGTACTCACCTGGCTGCCAGTTCCTCCTCGTCATGCCGACATCGAACCGTAACCTTTGCGTCCGTCATGGAATTACTACCGTGTTGCTCCATGGTAGGGAATAAAGCACTGCCACAAGATGGCCACGCAGCACCGCAGATATTACAAAGAAGGACAGATTTATAGCGCACCGCAGCTCAATCACTCCTCTTTGAGCTTTGGGATGCTTTTTTCAGCGAAGGGAATCTTCCTCCGACCATGGTGCTGAGGCATCTCGTATTTTTCATCCAGCTCTCCATCCTGCTTTTTACCTCGCCTACACTTTTCGCGTCCGTAACCTCGAGGATCTACCAAGCTTTCCTGTCTCATGTCTCGTGCCTCGTTTCTCTTTTTATATTCTCCATCCTTGCATGCTATACACTCCCTACGGACGAACAGTAGTATCCCGGGGTGAGCGTGATAGAATCGCCGATGTCGCTCGTAAATTAATGTTGTTGATTTCCCTTCTTTCCGCATGTCCAGCTGTGTTTCATATCACCCCTCCACCGGACTTGCATTGAGCGACTGCACTATTGAAAAGGAGATATTCAAATATCAGTTGTGCTTCAATTTTATATTCTTCGTTATAGTTCCCGTGTCGCACTCCGTAAGCCACCTACGTGTATTATCATACGAAGGAACTCCTGGATCGGGCTACGGGGGAGAGCAGACAAGGTACTTGATATGAGAGCAGTTTGATAACGATGAGAGTTGAGTTCTGCAATTTATTCCTCTTCGGGATTGCGTCTGGAACAGATGTTGACCGTGCCGAGGGGTTATAGCATGTGAAAACGTATTTAGGTGGAGGATGAGAGAGAACTGCGAAATCTCAAAGAATATCATATCACACCCGCAAAGGCTTGAGGATAATGAACACAGTGCCCTGGATGCTTTCAGCTGGGTGAAGTGGTATTATATTGCGAACAAGGAGGAAAAGAATAAAAATAACCCACTAGAGAAGCTAGCAGAAGAACATGAAATCGACAACAACAAAACGAGCCATTTCTTTACGTTTATAATCTAGCCCCCATGTGCCAGAAATGCCTCACGACGGCTGAGTTGGATTTGGGATTTGAATAGATAAATACGCATTAAAATGAATGTACAGTGTTTTAATGCACAAAGAGCCGACGTGGTAGATGTGTATTTGGGTATATGTATTTCCCACCATTTCTCATGGTCAGCTCGGACTACGGCCTACGAAATTGGCAAAGGAACACATGTGCACGATAGGTATACTGGCAAATGCTACTGTTGAAACCTCGTTTGGGCAATTACCTGATAATCCCTCAAGCCAAGACGAAAGCAGCTAATCCAAGCCGGCCAACGTTTCATCCATGCCTCGAGCGCCGTCACAGACGAGGACGTCGAACTGGAATTGGACCTTCGCGACTTCCTGGGGGACAAGTCCAAACCGGTGAAACTGCCAAATCGGAAGCGCTAACAAAACCTTTTGCCAATGTTTTTGTTGCAAAGCACCATCGAGGCCATGGTTTGGTGCCAGTTTGGGAGGTGCATCCAAAGTAGCTTGGGAGCTAACGATATCGTCAACAACACGGCGGGCAAAAACTGCTCCGTCAGTTTGTCATTTTCCAACGGCTACACAATCACACGGTACCGCAAAAACAAGTCGTTCAAAAACGATGTGGTAGTATTTTAAACCGCCCTGCAATCTGGCCCAGCACCACTTGATAACCCCGGATATGGCCTTCCTGGGTTAGCATCTCACCCTGCAGGTCTGAACTCGGGTCGAAGAAATGGCGGATAAAGGTCCGCACGCCGCTGGGGTCAGACGTCGGGCGGAAGGGGAGAAGGAGAAAGGGGAGGTCAAGGCCTGGTGAGCCAGCCGAGGAGAGTAGTTGGCTCTCCTGCTGTCACTGTGTCGAGCTAATGTGCGTTTGTTCAGGGGTTCGACATCTGAAAATTGGGGTCATACCCCCTCAGCATGTGTGAAATGGCAGCAAGCATATGACCCTTCAAGATCGTTCGTTGCTGGCCCCAACATCCCGTCATCGTTATGGACCCCTTTTCGGGTGAGATATAGTATGGGTGACACATGGGAAGTACAGTCACTGGCATTGGATTGGAGATGGCATCGAGATGCCGCGAGGTATTTAAAGTATAATCACATCGTATCTTGGGGTATATCCATATCTAAGTCTATCTCCGCCGTCAAGGCAGTCGATATCGTGTCTGTAGAAGTACAAAAATCTTTTGGGTCAGGAACAAAGCACAAGCCAGGCCGCCATGCAGAACGCCATAGATGTTTCCATGTGCCGGTAGAGAAACAGGATTGACAAAGGAAATTGGAAAAAAAGACAAGGGCAAAGACAAGGGGTCAATCATGCGTTAGCCCTGACCTGCATAACCGTCTCTTGGACCCTGACCGCCTTCCCCCTGGCATGGGCGGCGGCGGCCTTCTGCTGTATCCTCAGGTCGAGAAAGTGCGAGACGGTGCTGACGACCTGCTCCTCAAAGGACGCGAACTTGAAGCCAAACACCTCCTCGGTCAGGGACGCGTCGACGGGCAGCGGGGTGGTGTCAACGCTGCCCTTGGCCACCAGCAGCCTGCTCTCGACGGCGTCGGGGAAGCGGCGGCGGGCGATGTCGCGCGCGTCGTTCCACGTGGTTGGGCGCGGGTCCGACAGCACGTAGCTCCGGTTGCCGGGGACCCTGTCGCGCTCGAGGGCGATGACGTGGGCGGCCGCCACGTCGTCGACGTGGACGGTCGCGCCGGCGTAGGGCCCGAAGCGCTTGCCGAGCAGCATGGCCAGCACGACGGCGTTGGTGCCCCGGACGGCCTGGGCGGGCGTGGTGGCGGCGTCGTTGCGGCCCAGCACGAAGGACGGGTGGAGGTAGACGACGTCAAAGGCCGGGCGCTCGCGCGCGACCCAGGCCTCGGCGCGGGACAGCGACGCCACCTTTGAGGCGGCGTAGGCGGCGAACTCGCTCGTGTAGGGCTCGTCCGGGAAGGGCACGCGGTCGCACGGCCGCACGGGCGTGGTGTTCTCGGCCGCCGTCGTGCCCTCCATGCGGTCGACGGGCACGAGCGAGACGATGGACGAGGTGATGACGACGCGGCGGACGGTGCCGGCGCGCTGGGCGGCCTCGAGCATGCTCAAGGTGCCGCGCACGGCCGGGCGGATGAAGTACTCATTGTGGCGCGCGAGCGGCACCTCGTCTCCCGTGACCAGGGGGCTGGCGATGTGGATGATGAGCGTGGTGCCGCGGGCGGCCTCGTCGTAGGCGCCGGGCGCCGTGATGTCGGGCACCACGACGAAGGTCAGCTGGCTGCTGCGGCCCGTGCTGGCTTCGACGCGGCTGCCGTTTGCGGCGAGCGCCTGCTGTATCCTGGCGCGGGCGAGGATCTTTGCGGCCTTGTCCTGCGAGCGGACGGCGGCGCGGACCATGTAGCCGGCGCGGAGGAGGTGGAGCAGCGTAGCGGACCCGACGTGGCCCGTGGCGCCGGTGATCAGGACCAGCTCAGACCTCGACGTGGAAATCATGTCTGTGAGTGTGGGGGGGCAACGACCTCTTAATATGGTCCAAGGGCCTGCCGGTAGGGCTGATGCTTGGCAGCGGCCGGATCAGAGGGGGAAGTCCGGCAGAAGGCGAGTGGCACGAGGGATCAGCAGTCGTATGTATGTATGCGTTATCGATGGTAGTGGATCCAGTTAGCCAGATGTCTGGGGTTCGGCCCGATAGCAGTGATTCTGTTGGAATTACAGAAAAAAAGGATTTGGAAGAGCGTGGAGATGTCTGTATGTATGAGATTTGTTTCTTGGGGAGACTTTTGATGAGTGATGGATGACCTTTATTTAGGTGAAGAACGGCTTAGAGGGGGTGATCTGTCCCAAACGGTCAGTGGAGTGATGGTCAGGAGGAAAGGGTGGTCTTTATGAGGTTCCTGGAGAAAGTTGGCGGCAAACTCGCATTGAACAATATAGCCAATAAACGGCGTCTCCGACCACGGCAACATTATTGCGGGCTGGTTCGCGGTGACCAAGTCCATCGTCCCCCCATTCACGCGCAAACGGACAGGGAGAGAGGGTCGGGAATGAGGAGGAGGAGGAGGGGTCTGGCTAAGGCCGTTGCCACCACCCCCCTCCCCTGCGGACGCGGCTAAAAAGGGGGCGAAACTGCCAAAGACCGGCACATGGAGGCACGATAAAAGCGACAATGCGAGAGTAGTAAGGAGGCAAAGGTGGTCTGGCGTGGACTGTGCAGCGGCACAGAGCAAACCCCAAACGACGAATGGCATGTCCCGAAGGAATGGGTTACTCGTTAGAGCGGCCTCGGCTGGGCGGAGAAACCGAGCGCTGACTTGCGCCATGGCTGCGTGCCATGGGCTGGTCCTCGCCTTGTGAGTGGCTTGTTCTCTCACTAGCGCGCAGCGCTAGTCTACGATTTTAGTGTTTAGTAATTTTCCTCCCAGTTTTGCTCCTCGCCTCTCATCTCCTATCCCTATCTGGCGAAAGGACGTGGTGCGTTCGCTTGTTCTTCCCCTCCCAACGCACCCCCTCACGGGAGCCCTGGTCCCACGACTCGGTCACACACAGTCAACCGCCTCTCCCCTTATTGTTTGTGCTAGATACTGCGCAGACCTACCATGTACTCCATTTGTTCTGCATGGAGCCTCTAGTTCCAACCGCCCACCCCACCCACTATCCATCACACGTGAGACGTTGGCTTTTCTGGTCCAGACTTTCTCCCGCTGCTTCACGTTGTTAGCTGTGCTGACCGGGCGCAGCCTGCCCTCCGCATTAGACGCGGTATTCCGGTAGCAGACCGCGCCGTGCGCTGCACGATAATCGAGACGGGAGGTCCCCTGCTTGAGTCTGGCCAGCTCCAGACGGTGGCTTGATGCAGCTTTCCAGCTGAGGCGGCAATAATTCGTCCCGTTTATTCATGCTCATTTCACACCTCGATCCCCCATCCGAACCCTAGATCCAGGCTTCCTAGCCAGCTAGCCACCTAGCATGGCTTCAGCTGCGATCTGGCCATCGAGACCGCCCCGCTCTGGCCTGGCTCTAACGTCCTATGTCTTCTGCGGGAGGCATGGGGGGGCAAGGGCACGGTCTCCTGGAGTTTGCGCGCTACAGCAGACGAAGCCGTCCCAGCTGGTCGGAACGGGTCCAGACCTTTCAATAACGCAAGCCACATCATGCCGTCACCACGACTTTTTTTTGACTTTTTTTTTTTTTTCACTTGGCGGGCTGAAAAGCTGAGACGGCATTACGGGTGTGTTCCGTCCCCGAGAGGGCTTGCCAGCTGTGAGGAAGCACGTGGCGGAAAAATCATTCCGCGCTCATATCTGCGATTTGCTTTCCCGTTTAGTCTTGCCTTGGACTAGACAGACCGGGATGGGGATTGAAGGATGAAGGATGGTTGGTTCTGTGTATGTTCCTTGTCCATTTCATTTCACATTTTTCTTTTCGCCCTCCTCTCATTTTACAATCTTTTCCAATATTTTCCCTGCACTTTACGAGCACAAAAACCACACCAAACCCAAGTTATTCCTGCAGGCTTGGCAAGTTGGCGACAGGTGAGGGAAAGGTCGGGATTGGTGCACATATTCAGCCGCCTCTAACGTGAAATCAAGCCTGGCCGCTAGTTGTCCTGGTGATATGCCCCTGACTGGCGGCTTGCTCAGGAGGACGCGGTCATATGACGAACCCCTTTACCCCTCCAACCAACCCGCCATCTGCTCTTCAGATTTCATTGCGCGTCAACGCCTTTTTTTTGCTCTTGGCAGCATTGGAGCCGCTTGCCTCGCGCATGCGTTGCATAACGATAAATCCACATTGGGTATCAAGCCAGAAGGTGTTTTTAGTGTGGCAGAATCTGCACGCCTTCACGTAGGATATGACGACGCAGAACTGTGGCAGCAAGCTTCCTCCTCGACCCCTCGCGCCCCGCGATGAGGCCGAGATCACACGACGAACCCACGGGTTCACCAACCCCTCTCGTCGGTGCCGAATCTTGACTCTTTCTGGAGCGTCGCTGACGACGACCCCGCTGCTTGCCGATCTCCCTCCCCTATCACGTTGATCCCCCCCTACGCATCACCAAATTGCTTATGCGGCATTGCCGCCGTGGCGCCTACGTGCTAGTGGTGGCACAGCGTGCACAGCACCTCGTCGCCCCCGATTCTTTGCCCTTGTAACACACGCCCCCAGGGATAGTGCATGTTTCATGTTTCTGTCGAGAGAGGTGCCAAGCCGTTGGTCCTCGACCCAACGCGCATAGGTACTGCCGGACGCGAGGCGCAAGGCTAGCCTGGAAGGTATTGGTCTCTGCAGGCGCTTGGGGCGTCCTCCTGGGGGGCATTGACCTACCCCTCACTCGCCCGTCCACCTGCCATGCCGGAGGAAGCGAAGGGCTTCTGGGAGCGCGCAAGATTGACAGCGGCACTTTTGAGCATCGTATGGGTGCAAGGTGAGACGCACCAACTTGCGCATCAAGGAACATGCGATATCTGATTTTCGCTTATTGAGGCTACGACGGACAGGAGGAGCGTGAGAGGATCAACCGGGAGCGCGGCACGCATCCACGGGATGGATTCCGGATGGTAAGTCAAATTTGGATGGGGCAGGGCTGTGGAAACGGATCAGCGCACCCACCCATAAACTTGGATGGCATGTGTTGTGTTATTACCCGTTCCTTCTTTTTTTTTTTTGGCTTTGACGCCAGCCAACCGCACGACCTCTGCTCACAGCTCCAGTCGTAGCCGCTTGTGGCTAGCTCTAGCGATGCTCGACTCCATGGTCCAGTGTTTCCTGTCTGCGCTTCCTGCAACGGTCCGAGACAGCGGGGGATGGAGACGAATCAAAGCCGCATTGAGAATTCGCAAGTTGCAACCACCGACCCTCCGATCTAGAGTGTTGGCACGGCGGGGCGTGTTGGTTGTCGGCAGAAAAAAACACCGACTCTCCGCTCATGCCTATCACTTCCCATTTTTCCCCCTTGATTTGACTACGCTCGCCTCCAGGCAAAACAGGCAGGTGTGATCTGTACCCTGCTGCATGATGCAGTTTGCAGGATCGATGCGCGCACAACGTTGGGACCATGGCTTTGTTCGCCTCAAAGTTTACGCGTGCGCTAAGAGGAAACACGGGCCCTTTTCGGGCCTTTTGATGTTGCAGTGAAATTGATATGCAAACAGCCTAGGTACGTGCCTACCTGGAAAGCAAGGGAATGGCGGTTCGTTGGCGGAACACAGGGCAGGACACAGAGCAGGGCAGCCAGACAGCCTCGGCGAGGGCACGGCCTCAGCTCCGCGAGAGACGGCTCCGCACTAGGGCCCAAAGTGGAGAGCGTTCGGACCGGGCCACAATAGTAACCGGAAGGATCCGGTGCTATGCTGGGCACACTAAGCGGTGAGACATGCTGACTTTGCGGTTGAGATGTGGTGCAGTTGATCTGACGAGCAGGCAGAGGAATGTTGTGAGACGAGATTTGGGGCGGCAGCGCAGGTACCTAGATTGGTGTAATGGAGAGAGAAGGCGACGAGTGCAGAGGGGCAGAGGAAGCCCGTTCGCATCGAGTTGTCGACCCAGCCTCTGCTGCTGCTGGAGGTGTGCTCGAGTGACACGTGGAGACGTCAAGTGGAGAGACACGTGATCGACGCGACTTGGCAGGGCGCGGTCGGGGCCGGTCGGGCCCGAGGGAGAAGTGGGGCAAACTGAGAGGTAGTAATTGGAAGTTGGAGGGAAAAAACACGACAACGCCTGAATTGCCGGCCGCAGCTCAACGGAAACCGACCCGACCTTATCTCAGGTGCCCAGTAATTACCCAGCCAAGCAACGCCATGGTACCTGCTCGTGCGGGTCGGTGATTTTAGAGGACATTCGCCCTACCTCCCCAGGCGCACTTCGACCAAGGGCGGCTCAAGCATGACGGGTGTCAGCGTGGTCTGTCGCCCCCGGCCCCGGTCCCTGTGGAGCTCCCACATCGGCCCGCGCTGCCGCCTGGAGGCTCACGTGCTCTCCCTGGCCGGCTTGCCCGGAGGGCGCTCGGCGTCGTCCAGGGCGGCGGCACCTCCGTGGAGGTCGCCGTCCTCGGCCGCGGCCAGAGCGAAGGCTGGGGCCCGGGGGACTTCTCCGGTGACCTCACGCTTAAGGAGAGCTGCGGCACGTGCGAGGACTAGGAAATCAGCCATGCCCGCGAAGGATGTGGATGATGAGGTATGGCCTTGCACCTTTCTGCTGTTGGACTGCACCTTTCTGCTGTTTGACTGCAATACCAAGAGGAACTGCAGCTAACACCCGCTCCTGTCCTTTTCCCACGAGCACCTCGTAGCTAGAAGGTGTGATGCTAGGTAATTTTAAGCTATCGCACATAAAACCTTCTTCCACCCACGTCACCATTACGGACGGACAAACCTTGCTTTCCTCCTGGAATGGGACAGTTGACGAAAGGGCGTGGCACACCATGATCGTCCCCGGTAAGTTTTCTATCGGTGTATTCGGCTTGTCCTATTCCTCCACACTTTCTGTTGATGGCTCGAGCCCTTTATCGCACCCAAATGTTGCGCCTTGTGTTGCTGACTGTATACGATAGGGGACGCGCCGGTCTATAGTCCACCCACAGAATATCCTGTCAAGGTTGAACCAAAAATGGAGCATACCGTCAAGCACTATGGATCTGGCCTGCCAAATAAAGGCTCGTTTTACAAGCGCATGCAAACATTCACCTCCATCGAAGTCATGCGACCGGATTTCCTGTTTGATGACGTGGATATCGTCATTGCGGCCCATACTCTGGAGCGGATACTCTCGTACTGCTATGGAGAAAACTTCCATGGCAAGGAGGGCGAAACAGACTTCCGGCTCAACTTGGCTCTCGCTGGCGAAAAGACGCTCTTTGCGGAGCGTCGGCGCCCGAATTCAGGACCGGAAGCCAGGGTCTTCAGGACCGTCCGTGAGTGGGTACCAGACCTAGCGGCGAGTAACAACCCCGACAATCCCGAGTTTTACCAAAGGTTTCGCACAGCTCTCGGGAAGACGTTTGAGCAAACATTTACAAGGAAACCGTTGCGTCATCATTCGGTCAGGGAAAGGTTGAGCGACCATCAGCGATTTGTGCTGTATCGCCTTGGCCACTTGAAGGTGGTCGTCGAAACTGGCGTGGACGCCCGCTTCGCAATGCCTCTGACCCCTGGCTCGAACGATTCCGGGGATCGTGACCATAGTCACTATGAAATGTCCACGGCTAAGCCAGGGGGCTGGCTCCAGTATCAAACAGTCCCTTATTTTTCTCGGGTCGAAATGTCTGGGCAGCCGTTCCCACACTCTCAGGCCTTGGAGCTCAAGATCACTGGCCGGCTGAAAGAGAGCGACAGAACATTCGTGCCCGCTGGAGACATCGTACAGTGCTGGTTTTCGCGTGTCCCCCACATGGCCTACGGTATGATACCCAAAGGCGATATCATGCTGAAAGCCATCAGGATGGTCAAGATGGATGATGCTTGCAGGGAGTTGGAGAAGGATGCCAGGGCGCAGAAGGCTTTGCGCCAGACTGTCATGTTGCTGGATCACTTGCGCGATCTCGTGCGGAACGCTTCAAGGAGCGCAACGCAGGAGAAAGACAGGACAGCGTCGTTGGTTATTGGCAATAGTTTTGTTGATCCCGACATCAAAGTTGTCTTTCCTCACAAACAGTACGCAACCCCTTTTGGTGACAGCTTTCTCAAGAGGTGGTGGGTGTCCCAGAGGCCAGGTGGAGTGGAGTTTTGTCGCAGAGAGCGGGTAAGACTCGAGTACGGTGACTCTGGAGGCAGGGCGAAAGTAGTTGAGAAGCTACTTCGTTGGAATCCATCGACAGCGGCAGCAGCATTCATAGGGCAACGCGAGGAAGTTGCTGGTGCTGACCCGGAATCGGAGCCCGCGGTCACCATCGACAGCCCCCTGCACGCAGAAGACGGGCACCGGCCGGGCGAGGGCTGGGCTTTGCGCCACCGCCAACCCAAAGCGCTCGTGGAGGAAGGGGTTGCTCGGCAGAAGACGGACGCCCGGGCAGCAGCGGAGGAAAGCGATGCTCGGCGAGAGATGCAAGCCCGGGCAGCAGCGAGAATAAAGGATTTCCAGGAGGAGAGGCGTGCCATAGAAGCAACATTAAAGGCCTTCAGTCGTATCGCAACGCAAGGCGCGAATCCTCAGTTCAAGATGGAGAGCTCTGTCAGCCCAAGCTCGGAGGACTTTGGCAGGGAGAGAAGCGAGGCTGCCGAGACTGTTGGGGAGGCCTCGAGCCGAACTCGGGCGCCTGCATCTGATCAATCGAAACCTCCCGCGACGGCGACGAGCAGCGGCGACGAGCACGACGAGCGAGCGAAAAAGTTGGCTCGGCTGTTGCAAGTCTCCAGGGTAGGGACCATCAGGAGCAAGGTTCCGGGGAGCGTGGAACTCAAGGCCGAAAAGAAGATTGTCAAGGAGGTTGAGGAGAAGGCCGAGGTTCGAGTTGAAGAAGAGGGTGACAGCAAAACCGAGGAGGTCAAGGTGCAGGTCAAGGAGAAGGTGGAGATGCAGACCAAGAAGGTCGAAACACAAACGAACGAGAAGACTGAGGTACAGACCGAGAAGGTGGAAGTGCAGACCAAGACGGTGGAGGTGAGGGCCAAGACGGTCGAGGTGAGGGCCAAGAAGGTCGAAGTACAGACCAAGGAGAAAGCCGTGGCGGACAGCGAGGACAAGGCCGAGGTGCACACTAGTGAGGAGATCGAAGTACAGATTCAGGAGAAGGTCGAGGTACAGATCAAGGACAAGGTCGAGAAGAAGGCTCGAGAAACCGCCCAGATCAAAAGGCAGGCCAGGCTAGCTACTCCGGCCGCAGAGTCGTTTACACCAGGGGTGAAACGGCAGCCAAAGCCACCACCGAAGCCGGACCCGGGGCCCAACAGGTTGAAGCCACCCGCCGTGCCCCCAAAGTCTTCCACCGGCACTTATTTCATACCGACCGATCTCGACTGGCCGGAATGATGACGCCTCTGGGACGAGGAAGATACGGGCTCGGTCTAGCGCCATGGCTAGCGAAGTGGCTACATTGTAAAAGATATTTCGGGGTCGACGTGGACTGTTTTGACTCAAAAAAAAAAAAACAAGGAGCTCTCTCCCCTCATGCGCAGTATTTCCAGAATTTCTCGCGTCCCACTCTATGCTTGCCGCGAGGCCGCCAGCGGCTGCGCGCCCTGCTGCTGCTCGTCGTCAATGCTCTCGCGGAGCGCCTTCTCGTACTGCCTCCAGTCCCTTCCGTACCAGAGGATGGCGGCCGTGGCCGCAGCCGCGACGGCGACCTCGGCGAAGGCGACCATGACCAGGTACGCGGTGGGGTCGCCGCCGCGGACGGGGTTGAAGGTCTCACGCCCGGGCGGTGACAGGCGGCCCGCCACGGTGTAGGCGACGCGGAGCCCGAGGACCGGCATGCAGGCCGCGGCGCACTCGACCTGGCGCCGCTCGCCGTGCCACCCGCGCTCCCTGAAAGCCGCGCGGCGGAGCAGGAGGAAGAGCGCGAGCGCCGCCGTGGCCCCGTAGATGGCGACGAACACGGCCATGCCCGCGACGCCCCACGGGTTGACGGGGCTGTACGCGTCGCCCTCGCGCACGGCCAGGACGTAGTCGCCCGCGGTCAGGCCGATGCCCAGCCACGAGAGGAGGATGGGCGCGCGGAAGAAGTGGCGGTTGAGGAGCGGGACGAAGTGGTTTCTGTTGTTCGTCGGTTCCCGTCGTCGCCGAGCAGATGGGAATTTTGTCAGCTCTGCAGTCCAACACAAAAAAAAAAGGGGGGAGGGGAGAGCTCCAACTCACGCTCTCTCCAGCATCCCCAGCAGCAAAAAGGTCAGGAGCAGGACGCCAAGCGACTCGCACACGTAGACGCCGGCCCACACGCTGCGCGAGTTGTCCCCGAGCGTCGCGAGCAGGCAGCTCGCGCCGACCAGGCGGATGACGGCGACGCCGCCGACGCAGAACCAGCCGTTCTTGCGCGACCGGGCCATGGCGATGGCGCAGAGGAATAGGGCGGAGAAGCAGACGATCTGGAAGACGGCGATGCCGTCGCGGTAGCCGAATTCTCGCGCCATTGCTGCGGGTTTGTGTCGCGTTTCTTCTCAGTGGCGTGCAAGTCACAAAGAAACATTTGCAGAGAGACGAGTTTAGATTAGGACGGTTACGCAAAAGTGAGTGGCAGCCCGATACATACTGCTCAGGCTTGAAGGGGGCTGTGTTGACATCCACAGCTCGGCAGGGCCACCAAGTCCCGCACCGCGGATCTACAGGGTTTGAGCTCACGGGAGCGCAGTCTGGCGGAGCAAAATAAGTCATGTAACCCGTCTTGGAAGATCCTTCGGCTTATGTCTGCACGGCGATCCTCCGTCAGCCTGTATCTGGTAAACGTTTCTTCAACCACGAGTCTGCGGCCAACAGCCCCCCTTTTATCTACTCCGTAAACTCGACGATCTGCGCCTCGATCTTAGCCAACGCATCCAAATCTTCGTTCTCCTTCTTCATAGCTAGCACGCGCTGGCGGTAGGCCGGGTTGGCCAGCACCTCCTTGACGGCCGCGCGCACCTGCTCGCTCGTGGGCGTCGACGTGGCCAGGTTGACGCCGATGCCGGCGCACTGGACCCGCATCGACATCTCTGCCTTGTCCTCGGTCACGCCGGCCACGACGAGCGGCACGCCGTGCATGATGCTCGTCTGCACGCCGCCGTAGCCCGCGTTCTGCACAAAGACGTCGGCCCGCGCCAGCAGCGCCTCGTAGGGGAAGTAGTCGAGCACCCGCGCGTTGGCCGGCACCTCGACGTCGGCCGGCAGCGACGCGCCCCGGACCCCCAGCAGCGCCACTACTATCACGTCGTCGTCGTCGCCGTCGCCGTCCCCGCGGCCCCCCGCCAGAGCCCGCAGCGTCGGCGCGATGAGGGCGTGCGGGTCCGTCGCCACCGTGCCTTGCGCCACCGCCACCACCTTCTTCCCGTCCAGATCCGGCCACCACGCCGGGTACGCCAGCCCCGCGGGCACGGGCCGCGCCGGCAGGGCGCCGATGTAACGGATCGACGGCGGCAGGTCGGAGCGCTCGTACTCGAGCGACGGCGCGCACGTCTGCAGCGTCACCTCGGCCGCCGTGAACCAGTCGCCAAAGAGCCAGCCGGTCGGGTCGCGCGTCGCGCCCAGCCCCCGCAGCATCGCCGCCCGCTCCTCGTTCAAGTCGGCGAGCTGGCCCTCGTAGATGCTGTTGAGCAGCGCGTTGCGCAGCCGGCCCGACGGCGTCGAGTCGGGCGGCAGCGCGGTCCCGACGGGGCCCGTGTCGACAGAGTGGACCAGCACCGGCGCGATGCTGAGCCCGATGGTGCGCGGCAGCCGGTCGTAACCGCGCGGCAGCGGCGCCCCGTGCAGGAGCGCCTCGGCGCCGAGGAAGAAGATCTCGAGCAGCAGGATGACCTGCTGCCCGGGCCGCACCTCGGCCAGGTGCTCGAGGTGTTGCTTCAGCGCCTCGTGGCGCGCCGGGATGCTGCCGAGGAAGATGGTGCGCAGGGCGTGCTTGATCATGGCCGGGCTGCCCGGGGTCATGGCGTGGCTCTCCGCCACGGCGGCGGCCCCGGCGCCGCTCAGGGCGTCCGGGATCGGGACGAGCTCGGCGCCAGCGCGCTCGACCTGCGGCGCGAACTCCTTGCTGGTGATGAAGCTGACCGTGTACCCGCGCTTGATGAGCGCGGCCGCCACCTCGAGCAGGGGCAGCGTGTGTCCCGCGATCGAGGCGGCGCCGACGACGAGGTGGGGCTTCTCCTTGGGCCCGGCAGGCGCCTCGCTCCCGGCGCCGGTCTGGGGCTCGCTGTGGATGGCCATGGTGTGTGGCTGCTGCGCTGAAAGGGAGGGACAGGGAGTGGATCTGGAACGGTTGGTGTCCTGACCTGAGCTTGTTGCTAGCTATGCATGTTGCAAGGCCATGTCTGTTCTATTTATCGTCCATGCTCTCTCTTCTCGTCATGGACCCTCGGCGGCTAACACGTCTACCAGCATCCTAACATCCAACCCTTCTGCTGCATACCTACCCATGCTTCTCTGCTGTCAGCGCTAACCCCTGGGTCTGCTTACTGCTGTCAGCTCTAACCCCTGGATCTGCTTAGTTGGTATATGGCATGAATACGGACTACCTTGATTTTAGGCATCGTCCATCTAACCCCGTCGGCGACGGGGTATTGGCGAAACCCGCCGTTTGCCCGAATCGTTACCCGCGCGGGATTCGGCCTGTGGAGCCGTGGCCAGGTCCCGCCTTCGAAACGGGTCGACATTACAATGACCCGTTTTCGCATTGCTGCTGCCTATTCCATCGGCCGTGCGGGACGAAGCTGACCTAAGACGTGCTTCGACGTTACATCGCGTCCTATGGGAGGCACTATCGGAGCGGTATCTCGCGTCGCGAAGCTTCAGGGGTGGCGAGCAAAAAAAAAGAAACCATGATTTACAATATCTGCAGGTCGGGTAATGCACTCAACATACGCATAGATTCCACGGGCATCCACAGGCATTAGGAAATATCCCGGGAGGCCGCAGACGGCTAAAGCCCAGAGGCGAGGACCAAGATGCAGTAATGGAGCACTAAAAAAAAAAGGGAGACTGCATAACCGACGAATACCGCACCAAACTTCCAGATTGCACCGCCGACCAACTCGCTCGCGTTGACACGGGAGGGAAACAAAAGGAAGGAGCAGATGGACAACAAAAGGAAGGAGCAGATGGACAACATGGTAAGGCCGACGAATAGAAGAAACAGCTAGGATACGAGAAAGCGGACGACGCGCCCCACCTACCCCGTCCCTCCCGTCACGCTCAGCCCGTTGGCAGCTAGAACCCGCGCGGCGGCCGCCTCGCCACTCCAGTAGGCGCCGGCCGTCGTGCCCAGGGCCGCAAAGGGCGCGACGTGCTCGCCCGCGAACCAGACGCCGCTCTCGGGCACGCCGGCGCGCAGCGCCCTCACGTCCTCGTCCGCCCGCCGGGGCCCCGCCGCCGCCGCCACCGCCTCGCCGCCGCGGCGCGGCTCCTCGCGCCCGGGGTTCGCAAAAAGCCCCCAGCTCCAGCCGCCGACGCCGGCGGGGTCGTCAGCGGGCGGGGACGGTGACGGGGATGGGGACGGCGAGGGGGGAGTCGTCGTCTTAAAGTTGGTAAAGGACCCGTTGCCGGCCAGGTCGTCGCCGTGCCAGTCAGTGGCGACGATGGCGGACGGCGCGCAGCGGGAGTCGGCGCGCCGGTAGCCCGGCAGGCGGCTGTAGTAGGGGCGGAAGAAGCCGTCGAGGACCCGGAAGCGCTCCGGGCTGGTAGCGTGCAGGTGGCGAACCTGGTCGCACAGCTGCGCGGCGCAGGGGTCGTGCGTGACGAAGAGGAGCGTCGGCCGCGCGGCCGCGCCGAAGACGGCGCGCGACGAGAGCGGCACCAGCTCCACCGTCCACCCGCGCCGCCACGTCTCCACGTAGCCGGCCGCGTCGGGGAAGAGGATGAAGCTGGGCAGGGAGCCTGAGCGGCCGTCTGTGGTCTTGGTGTCGCTGCCGCTGCTCTGCCCGCCATGGGCAGCCTCTGCTGTGTCCGCCGGCGGGGAGGGCTCCCAGAAGGCCGAGGGGAAGGTGATGTAGACTTTCTCCAGGCTGCTGTAGGTCATGTTTGCGATGCTTTGGCAGATCTGGGCAGGCAGCGGAGGCTTGAAGAAGGGCTTGTGCCGCTTCAGGCAGCCAAGCGGAACCGTGACGACGACCTCGTCAAACCTGAGGCGTAGTCCTCTCTCGGTGGTCAACAGAATCCTGGGATCCTTACCTTTCTTGACGATGCTCTCGACAGATTTGACCTTGGTCGAGAGATGTACATCGGCGCTAGCCATGACCTTGGCGGCAAGGTGCTGGACAACCTTGCCGTGGCATCCAGACACGTGCATGTCCTCTGACGCTATCAGCATGTGTGGCGGGCACTTTGGCGCTGCGAGATTATGCGGCACCGTCATCGGTCGAGGCACAAAAGACTTACTGCCGTGGAGAGATTCCTCCATCCAAAGCCACTTGACGCTCTGCTTGCCCCAATAGTCACCAATAAAGGAACCCCAAATGTTGGCCATCATCAACACCTGGCGCTGGATCCCAGGAGCGAGTGATCCTTTGTCGAGTTTGTCGCGGAAGAAGTCCTCGAGGTTCAGGTCAGGATCGATCTGCTCCGAGTTTCGGTTACTGTACAAGAATGCTTCCTCAAGAAGGGCCCAGACCGTTTTGAGGACGACGTTTGAGGCCTCATCCGAAACGATACGCCCCTGGTCATCGTAGAGAAGCATGTCTTGGCCCATTTTGGAGAGAGTGGTGCCGGTCGCGTTTGAGAGCCTGACGATTGGGTTGTCGTCACTACCGTGTATCCAGTTCGGGCCCCTGTGTCAGTGTCAGCTGGCATGCTCCATCGACAGGGCATTTCCCCTAGACTTCTATAGATGACCAACATGTCAAAGGTCTGTCCGGACAGGCTGCATTGGTGAGCCTGCTTTACTTAGCAGCCAGAAGATCAGTCACAAAGGTGGAGGCGCGTCATACCCGTCCGCCAAATCTGTCTCGCGCCTCCGCGACAGTGACCTTGGCTCCGCCCTGGATGAGCACCTCGGCGCATCGGAGGCCGGCAAAGCCGGCGCCAACCACTGCCACATGCGGTCTCGCCTTCACCCTCCCGTGCTTGTTTGCCACTCCCCGCTTGCGCATGGGCTCCCGTGGCTGGAAGGTAGCCACCAGGTCGCGGGAATACTCGACCAGCTCCCGCTTCATCCGTGACGTGCAGCCATCGTCGCCGAAAGCTGTTCGCGGAACCGATGTCTGTTCCATGGCATTGGTGCATATGCAGATGGCGTAGACAGTATTACTCGCAGAACTTGGTGGCGTGGCCGGGCACAACACACAAAGGAGGCTGGCGAAGAAAATAATAATACAGAGGCTGTCCTCAAGGGTGTACATTAAGACCTATATATACAGTATAACTGCGTCTTTGAGAGAGAGAGAAAAGTTGGTAGAATGAGTGAGGAAGCTACTACAACCTCGGAGTGGGAGAGTGTGGGTGACTGAGACTTTTCTGTTTACTCCGTCTCGGATGCTTAAGCTGAGCTCGAAAGCTACGCGAGCGGGTGACGGGGGAGGGGCTGGCGACGAGGCGGCAATGGTCAACTTTCTCCAAGCGGCGCCCTCAGAGTCTGGTCGATGAAGTGGTAGTGCCATCTGGTGAATCCGGGTTCGCCAACAGGAGGCAGACTGTTGGCTCATCGGCCTTGACGAGGTGCAGCGTAGCTTGGGCAACCCAAAGACACGAACAGGATGCGGGGACCGTCGGCAGAAATCAAGGCGAATATGTCGCGACAAGGACTGTCTCGGCTTGTGACTAGCGTTTGGTCCAGGACAAGTCAATCGACAGGAAGCCCAACGGGCTGTGACTCAGCCCCGGTGTCCATCTAATCTGATACGTAGCCGGAAAGATCGGACGGGAGTAGATCGATTGCGCCCGAGTCGATGGGATGCTATCTGCGGTGAGGGTGTCACCATTCGATGCCCATAGTCATCGTGTGCCAAAACGATGTGAGAGGGGAGACCGGGATGCATTCCTGTGCAGCAGAAGCGCCATCATTTGCGCAGCTGTAGGGCCTGGCCCATGGCCTCTTCCTTCCCTTCGAGACGGAGCCTCACAAACTTGCGCAAGACGAGCAGGCCATAACAACCAATAGCCACGGCAAGAGCGGCCGATGTGGCAGAGACGCCGGGAAAGGCCCAGTCAAACTCCCGAATATGGCTAAAGATATTCATGGCGTAGAAGCCAGTGACAAAGGATCCGGTGGCGAGGCCGAGGGTGCCCATGCGGAATTTGAGGTCCAGGACCATAAGCAGGTTGCGGTTGGCGTCTAGGATGGCGCTGATGCTCTCTTCGGTGTTGCGGATGCTGGACACGAGGTTCTGCGCCTCCTGCGCAATCTCATCGTAGGCCTTGTAGTATGAGTCGAGCAGGAGTTCGATGGCTGTGAGATCGTCGTGGGCGGCCCGGCGCGCGCGGCCCGCTGCGCGGTCTGTCAGATAAAGCGCGGCTAGGCGGTCGTCGTAGTCGAGCACGTCCTCGACCGCGGAGCGCACCAGCTCAGCCCGCCGCGCGAAGCGCGTGACGCGGTCCGAGAGGCCCAGCAGGGCCCGTAGCTTACGGCGGTCCATGACGAGCCCATCGTCGGCGGCAGATGCGTCATCCTCCTCGAGTGAGCGCAGGATCCGCGCGGCAGGTTCATGGATGGCATCCAGCTCGCGTTCCAGCTGCGTTACTACGGCCCCCAGCACTGCCTCAAGTGCGCGGAACTCGTACGGCAGAGCCTTGTAGTATTCATCATACCCCTGGCCCTCGAGCTGTTGCTGGCGGATCCGGTCTTGGAGGTCGCGGAGGAGGTCGGCGCGCGGGGTTGAGAGAATCTGCGAGGGGCATTCGGGAGACGGAGCTTTTCCATCATCGAACAGGAGAACGCGATTCCTCTGGACCAGGACCTTGAAGTCGAAGAGATGGAGGAGGACGGTGGTGGGACGGATCAAGATGTGCGACAGCTTGGACGTGTCGATTTTGCGGATGTCGCGAGGGGCTAGGCCGTATTTTGACAGGAGCTCGGCCCGTGTGGACGTGACGAATGGTGTTATGGTTCCATGCTCGTCCACCTCAGTGTATCGAATCCCCGGCTCGGCAGGGGCCAAGGGTCGTCGGTCGTCGGTGTGGGAGGCGTGCCGACGACTCCGCGGCCTATCGATGGCCAGGGATCGAGCCAGGGAGGGGGCGCAGAAGAACGGCCGAGGTTGGGGCTGAAGCCGCGCTATGCAGTAGCGCAGGTTCCCGAGACATGGCAGCGCGTGGTTGGCAGAGAGGCCGCGCCATGTGAGGGCCGCGAGAGGGGGCATCAGGAAAGCCTTTGCGCAACGTCACGGAGCTGGATCTGACAAGGCGGCCAGTAGAAGGAGGAGACCGCGCCAGCTCCACCACCCGGGATCTCACGCCGGGAATGGCGGAGCGTCTGCTCAGTGGATGGCCATGGCGGTCACCGCTGGACGCTCGCAAAGATGACGGACTGGAGCGTATGGAAGCGAGGTGGGTTCCAAAGCCCCAAACTGAGGCAAAAAGCCCGCCGTCATGACGCGCGCAATGGAAAAGCGATAAGAAGCCCACTCAGACTCGATAAGAGCTTGGGCCACGCGGGGACCCACCTGTCTATTTTCGTGGATCGCCAAGACGACGGACGGACCCACCACCCCAGACTTTCTACAAACCTTGCTCACAAAGGTCCGAACCAACACGCAAAGTCCAATTCAGGGGCAGTCAGCCCTGGACAACACACATCACTTCCAGGGTTTGCGAAAAGCTCAATCACGAAAGGGATCAATGATTTTGTCCTGACTCTATTCTACCATGAACTGCCCTCAACATTCTCATTTCTGGCGCTTCCAGCCCCCGAGTATTGCCAGCCTTACCCCACTCCTGCCCTTGGAGAACACAAGGTCAATGACATGGAAGCTACAGGGGTTCCGGGTTGCCAACACCGCTAGACAGGACCGCAGCCTGCATGACGCCGGGCTGGGAACACGATGGATGCGCCTAGTTTTCAGCGCAGCCACCTCTCTGTATCACCGACGCCAACAGGACTCAGCCCACAGCCACGGACACCAATACCCCACTCTCGGTGCCGAGCAGTCTTGCTGGCACGCAGGCAGTCATTCTTCGACGGCATCTGGATGCCGAGTGGCCTTGCCCGATTGGGATTTCCCTTTTCAACGCCCATGACCGAAATTTTGTAACATGCTAATGCTCGATGCGGGCTTAACGGCCATGTCGGCCGCCAATTTTCTTGCCCCGCGGGCTGACACCGTGCGACGTAGACCGCCCTTGAATTAGACCCGGCCCAAGAGGAACCGCCCATGTCATCACAGCCGCAGACTATCGATGCCAGCTCAACTTGCCCTGTCCCGCCCCGGTTGGCTTGGCGCTCAGGACCGCATTTTTGCTCTGCTGAGTGGCCAGGCTCCAGGAACCACCACGGCGCCCAATATCACACGACCGGCTTACCCATGCCAAGAGCGGCATCAGCTTCGGACATCCGACGACATAATATTAACCCCGGACGGGCGTTGGGCTGACCACGGCGTGAAATCCCTTGGCCTAACAACCATGACATGGGTCCTCTTTAGGCTAGTTTCTCGGACTTGACAGAAGCGAGCCAACAAGGCAAGGGACACGATGGGGTCAACGGCCGTGATTCCCAAGTCCAGTCTCTGAGTTGTGCCTGGTCCAGGAACGCTGGTTGTGCATGTTCCAAAGCGGTGATATCCGTCGTTAGGTGGTTTCTGTTGAGCGAGCAGGCCCGGCTGCGAGTCCAGAGCAGAGGATAAAAGACTCCCGTCCGGACACCCTCTCACAACTCTTGTCCTACCTCATCCTCATCGGCACTCTCTCGTTGACGCCTGTCCTCCCATCTCTACTCTCACTCAAGTTACACAGTCGCTCCCGACCGGCAATCCTCCACCAGTCAACCCCGCCGCAGCCATGCTTTTCGCCCTGCCGTGCCTGGCCCTCGCCGCCCTTGGCGTTGTTGCCCTCCCATCCAAGAGCGATGCCGACTACACCTCGGTGTTCCACCGCACCAAGGGAGGATCCCCGAAGTGCATGACCCATAAGGAGGGTGTCGCCGCGGTCGAGATCTACCGCAAGCTGATCGCCGAGTGGAAGCCCGAGCTGGCCACGCACGTGTCTGAGTCCTTCGTCGACTACTCGGACTCGATCAACACCTTTGTCCACCAGCCCCTCGGCGGGCCCACGTTCCCCACCAAGGCCATCTTCGTCGCCAGCCAGAACGCCCAGCCGCACTTCCCCATCACCATCCTCAGCATCGACTCCCAGAAGTGCAACACCGTCTCGTTCCAGTGGAAGGCCGCGTTCGGCCAGGCCAACCTCCCCAGCAAGGGCCTCACCGCGCTCCAGATGGTCTGGGAGGAGAACCAATGGAAGGTCAAGCGGATCGACGTCGAGTTCAACTCGCTCATCTGGCTCCTCAACATGGGCGGCAGCTACACCTGGGAGGGCAAGACCTACACCGCGACCTCGCCCGACGCGGGCGTGGTCCCCAAATAAGCTTAATGTCTAATGACCGACGGGGTTGCTGCCGGTTCGCCCGCGGGGCAGCCTTGTCAAGACAACGACTGATGATTGCACAGTGTAATGGAGCGGGTTCTGGCCTGCTTGGGACTGGGCTTGGAGTGCGATGACGTTAATCCTCGCGGGATCTGGAAGGAGGACTGCCAAAACTTGTACCGACATTGGATAGTTTCGATCCGGATAATTCCGCTTGCACATCGATAGCCAAGCAAACTAATCTCCCCAAACGGTTCTCGAGCTAAATATGGCACCTGTGAATTTGGGGGCAGAAATTCTAGATTCCCCGCATTGAATTGGTGCCCCACGCAGCCGCCATGTCGAACGCTGATTGTCTGCGCCTTTTTTCCTTGGCGTCCTCGCGTTAGCGAAACAAAGTTGTAGATTCGTTGAATGATGTAGGGCTCTTGGGGGAGGGGTGGGCACCCAGTAATCGCGCCTTACACCAAAGAGCGTTGGACCCAAATATGCACGTAACACAGCACGCAGGAAAGGGTTGCAAGGGCCCCAGGATCTCGGGCATGAACCCCTCCACCTCGGAGCCGGGCGGGCGCGCCTTGTGCCCGGCAGAGGTACAGAGATGGAGATGGTGGCACTAGCTCTGTAGGCCAGTCTAGACTCGAACGACGGCTAAGATAGAGGTCAGTACAGCGTCTTTAGCCGTCCCTCTGCCGTTGCCAGGCCGGGCCAAGAATCCGCCGGAGCCGTGGGTGGGGGACGACCACGACGGAGGCCCGGGCGGCGTCTGTCCGGTGGGAGGGGCGCCCAGCCGCTTCCTTGTGTATTTCCGGCCATTGATCAACCGCGGGCCGCCCATCATGTGTCATGGCGGCGCAAGGCCAAGAGCCGCGCGGGTCTTGGCTCCTTGGACCTCGGTGACCGGCACCTATCTAAACCCCGCCCTCGAACCCTTTTGCTCCCTCGGATCAGCACTGCAACACAAAACTTCCCCCGCGAGGACGATCCAGGTGGGACATGCCCACGTCGTTAGTGGGGGGTTGTTGGCTTGGCGCCATAATATCCGGAGGATTATCCTCCCATAGGGCGACCGTCGCAACGCGATCCGATACGGCAACTCGAGACCAATTGCCATTCCCCTTCCCTGGCCAGACTACTGGCTCAGGCGTCTGCGCCCATTCGGGCTGGCTTGGAAAGGCTGGGTGAGTGGGCTGGGTGGGTGCAGTAGCATCGCGCGCCGCTTATCCCTTGCGCCCGGTGAGCTGGCCTGGCTAGCAATCAGCTTGGCCGGGTCACCTGTGCAGCCAACAGCTATCGCACGTAGATACAAGCTTTCTCAAGTCATCCATGCCGGGACAGACAACCTACCTGGCCTGTCCGTCCCCTTGGCTATTTTGTCAACGCCAGCTCGTAGCTAGGCCGCGCCTCCAGCGGGCCAAGATCGCGAGTCAATTTCTCATGGCGCGAAAGTCGTTGTCCAACGCCAAGTCGCTTATTAGGATTTTTTTAGCCTTCAGGTGTACCTCCTAAGGGGGATCTCGGTCCCGGGCAGCTTGAGTTGCACGTTAATGTTCCGATACGTCCACCAATCTGATAGCCTCCATTCGACATTGACGTCGCTCGCTCCTTAGTGATGGACACACTCCTGGCGTGAATTGCGAGGCATCGCGACGTGATAAAAACCCAGCCAGTGTCAGCCTCCCCAGTCATTCTTTACTCACTCTGCTCCATGCTTCTATCCTCTGTCTGTCACCGCACCAGCGACGGCAACTGATATCCGTCGCGCCAGATATCTTCCCTCCCGCTCTTCCTCGACGCACTCTTTCCCCTAGATACCCACCGAGCCATACCTCGAAATGAGTGCCCTACGCAACGCCTTGCAGCAACTGCTTGCTATCGTACGCGGTTCCCCTTCGGTCGGACAGCGACATTCAACCACCAAGACAAATAACCAGATGCCCGGCACAGGTTCCGCAGGCCTTGTCGGCCTCGCCGAGGCGCTCCTGGAGAGCGCCAAGGCCATGCAGGCCAACCCCCAAGACAAAGAGCTGAGAATGTCAATGGCCAAGTTGGCAAAGAGGATCGGGACTGAGGCGGCGGGCCCCGAGTCCATCATCCCCATGTACGCCGTGGCTGTAAGTCCAGCCCTAGCATGTTTCCCCACGTGCGTCATTTCTATCCTACCATGCCCTGGCCATGACTCTATGGCTAACTGCGACATGTTGCGTGGCCCAGTTCGGTGAGATCGGGGCAACCTATCAATTTATGGAGTGGAAGCTCTTCGACAAGATTCCCAAGGATAAGAGCATATCGTACCAGGAGCTCGCCGACTCTGTCGGAGCCGACCTGTCTGTCGTTTGTAAGCGCGACCCAGATTTCCGGGGCCACACCACACACTTGGCCATAGCTCACACATTATTTCCCAACTAGCCCGCCTTGGAGGCATGCTCGTGGCAAGCGGCCGCCTGATCCAGACTTCCCCAGGCCATGTGAAGCATTCCTCCACGTCACACATGTTCGCCAACGGCCACAACGCCGGCAACCTCTTCCGCATCTTGCTAGAGCATGGCCTGCGCGGGTGAGTGCCTTTTAGAGCCGATGGATGATGCCCTGCCATGCCATACCTCTCTCGACTAACACGGCACTCTCTCCAGATACCTGCACTGGCCCGAGTATTTTGCGAAATATGCAAGTAGTATCCCTCTTAGCTCCCCGCTAGCCCGGCACCGCACTATTCTAACCCTCACTCCTGGCAGGGTCCCCACGAGCCCGCGGGTCCCACCCACAACCCATTCACGTTCAGCCACGGCCACCCGGAGATGGGCGTGTTCGACGTCGTGGCGCTCGACGAGGAGCGCGCCCGCATATTCGCGTCCAGCATGCGCAGCGGCGACTCCATCTCGGCACGCTTCGGCGGGCCGGCCTCCCTCTACGACTTCTCCTGGCTGGGCGCCGAGGCCGCGGGCAGCGCCGAGGGCGCGCCCTTGCTGGTCGACGTGGGCGGCAGCCACGGCGACACGCTCAAGCACATCATGCAGGCGGTCCCCTCGCTCCCGCAGGAGCGGTGCGTGCTGCAGGACCGCGCCGAGGTGGTCGAGGAGTCGGCGCGCGCGGCCGACCCGGCCCTGGCGCGGGTGCGGCGCGTGGCGCACGACTTCAACGAGGAGCAGCCCGTCCGCGGCGCCCTGGTGTACCTGCTCCGCCGCGTGCTGCACGACTACTCGGACCCCATCTGCGTCCGCGTCCTGGCACGTCTGGCCGCGGCCCTGCCGGCCGGCGACGCCCGCGCCCGCGTTCTCATCATGGACCAGGTCCTCGCGGACCCGCCCAGCCCCGCCAACGCGGCCGCTGACCTGGTCATGTTCAACATTGGCGGCAAGGAGAGGAGCCCGGCCGGGTTCGAGGACATCGTCGCCGCCGCCGGCATGCGCGTCGTCAAGATCCACCGCAAGGAGGGCAGCGAGGTCGGCGTGGTCGAGTGCGCGGCGGCATGAGGGAAAGGGGTGTCTGCCGCCGGGAGATGTTGCCTTGTGCTTCCCTGTCTTCGGGTTCCCAATGTGGCAAGGGTCTACCAGCCTCCCAATCAGGCGGTGAGGTGGTTCTGGTCTAGCTATGAAAGAAGTTCGTACACGTAGCCTTGTTTCTGAGCAGAATTCCGTTTGGCGCTTGACCGCTGATGAATGCCCAGCTGAGAGATCGCGTAATTCCGAATGACACGTTGGACCGGACCTTGAAATATTCCGGCAGTGGACAAGGAAACATCATTCTTTCTGCCCACTCGTCGAAAGGCATGTCCCACTCGAATACATCGCCTGCTAGGTGCCTAAGCGGGAATGCATCCATGCCCTACTCCTGGAACCTTAGCTCTAGCAGCCCGATATTCGCGAGTTTGACCTCGATGTGAAACCTCACGGTGTCGTGTACGTCTGCCCAGGTATCCATGTAAAGGTAGCGACGGGGGCTCGCAGGAGTGGCGCTCTCTGATCTCCCGGATGGATTTCACCATGTGGGAGAATCGAGCGGCATTGCGCCTGCGACTCTCGTCCGCGAGTCTGTGATAGCCGTGACCGACCTGCGCCCTGAAGTCAAGCAGGGCCGAGATGTGCGTTTGGGCGATCTAGTCGGCGGCATCGTTGAGCGCAGTCGAGCTCGTTAAAATCACCACAGCCGAGTTAGACTCCGGGAAGAGATATATGGCGCCGTTGTAGCCGGGGGCGTTTTATTGGTGGTGGTAGGTGATCATAGGCCGCTGCTTATCGCCGAGGATGAGCAGCTCGTGTTTCTCAAGCAGCACCACATTTTCGCCCAGTTGGCCGACAACGCCGGGGAGCTGGGTTTGGATCCAGCCCATGCCGTGGAAACCACAGCCCCTCAAGGCCTGCGGGTCGAGTGGGATCTGGTTGCTGAGGAGGGCCGCGATGTCCTTCAGAGGGCCGCTTGTGGGGTCACCCTCGGCGCGTAGCACGACTCGGCACCAAGTCAGCATGTCTTCCGCAATTTAAGGCTGGCGGAAACCCAAACGACCCGTTTGGGGCGGGGACCCATTTGGGTAATGGGTAATGGGTAATGGGTAATGGGTAATGGGTAATGGGTAATGGATACAAAATTTGGGTAATTTTTGGGTCCAAGCCGGACCCAAAACCCATGCATTTGTGGGGTTTCGCCAGCCTTACTACGTTGGGGAAAGCCTCTATGTTTTCGAAAGCCCACGCCTCCGCTGGTATTTCTTGAACAGACAGGCAAAAGGCGAGGTGCTTGTTTTCAAGACCTTTGACTCGGACGAGAGAGTGAAGGCTAGGTGTTGGTGCCACCGACCTGAGCGACTGCAGCTACTGGAGCTTTGAGAACCGGTTTCTTTGCTAACAATGTCTAGGCTGCCCGCACGCGTCCTTTGTGCAGGAGAAAGCTCCGGAGAGTGCGCGAGCAAGGGAAAGTATCGAGGTGAGAGCACTGGTGTTCTCATCTAGCTAACAGTGGAGCACACAAACGGTTGGTCGTGGCCTCAGATTGTCTCTATTTTTAGTCGATATAGCCCCTGCCTCTGACATTGGCTGTCACTTCCTTTACGCAAGTCTTCAACCACTTTAGCTATGTCTCCATCCATATCAACGTACATTCCGCTGAGGCTTCCAGTTCCGTCTTCCAGTAGAGGCTTGATGTAAATGCCTGCCACATCCTCAGGACTCTTCATTGAAGAAGCTGGCAGTGGGCTCGCCGTCGTCCGGACACCTTCGACTGTTAGGCTGCGCAAGTCTACAAACTTCGGGCTAGCCTTGATACCAGTAGCAACGTTCCCGGGCTGTAACTATTTCTGATTGCAGGCTGTGGTGGAACCAAAGCAGGCCTGCCAGCAGCATGGACGGCAGCAGCGCGGTGGTTAGGGCGATGGGAGCGGTGAGGTTGGTGGTGAGGACCTGCTGCCATATCTTCATGTCGGGCTGGCACTCGAGGGCGTTGATCCTGGTGATCCCGGCATTATTGACTAGAATGTCGACGGGATTGCCACATAGGCGTTTGTGGATATCTTGGACGAGACTGGGAATCGCATCAATGTTGCATAGGTCGAGCGGGAGCGCGATTCCCTCGGTGCCCGACCCTAAGGTGTTGGTATTGATCCGATGGACCGTTTCTTGGATCTGATCTCGCGTGCGCGCTATGCAGACGACGCGCGCCCCTTCCAACGCGAGCCTTGTTGCTACCGCTCGCCCAATTCCCCGGCCCGCCCCAGTCACGATGGCGGTATGTCAAGCTAAAGGTCTGGTCAGTGGTCGGGCATGTTGGGGGGCGGAAGCTAGCCCGAGGGACGAAGACGGTGTGATCATTGGGAGAAGCTTGGGTCAGGGTATCAGAGTCAGGAACGGGCGTTCATTGCCGCAGAATAAGATATACAATCCCACATGGTGCTCGAAAGCCCACGGCCATGTTGACCCAACATGGAGGAGCACGACGAGGGCAGGCGTCGACGGGAGTTTGTAGGGGAGAGCCCACTGTGAAACCTCCAGGCTCAGAGAAACCACATGCAGTCCGTGCCCTGATTGCAGCCATCAACCACTTATCTAAATCCTCCCTCTCACTCCCTGGGGCGTGTGTGCCTTGGCGACCAGGCACAGGACAGCGCCGAGCATGCACGAAACCCCGCTCAGTATGGAAACCTCCCTGAAGCCCCCGTAGCGCTCGAGAATGGCGCCGCTGACGGGCGGGCCAACGAGCACGGCGAGCGATGCGACCGCGATGCCCATTCCCATATAAGTCCCGATGTCCTTGGGGCTGTCCGGGCAGAGCGTGAAGACGACGGATCCGCCAGAGACGAGCGCGCCCGAGACGAACCCGAACACGCACGCAAACGCGACCACCCCGGCCGGCGTCGTCGCCGACGGCCAGCAGAAGATGAGGACGGACGTGGCCGCCCCCGCCGCCGCCAGCGTGTTGACGCGCCCGAGCCTGTCGCCCAGGATCCCCGGGATGATGCGGCCCGGCAGGCTGGCGCCGTTGACGGCCGCGACCAGGTAGAGGGCCGTGGACTCGTCCATGCCCGCCTCCCGCGCGGCGTAGCTGGGCAGGTAGAAGAGGGGCACAAACATGCCCAGGAAGAGGGCGGCGGTGCCGGCCACGAGCAGCGCGTACAGCGGGCGGGCAAAGGCGGACCAGAGGAAGAAGCGGCTGGCGCGGGGCGGCAGGCGCGCGCGCACCGTGGCGGCGCCGAAGACCAGGACCGGCACCATGACGAGGCCGCACGCGCGCACCGCCCAGCCGAAGCCGACGCCGGCCCCGGGCGCGAGCAGGAGGCGCGCGAGCACGACGGGGAATACGACGGCGCCGAGCGACGAGCCGGCGATGGCCAGGCCCATGGCGGCCCCGCGCCTCTTGTTAAAGTGCTGCGGCACCGCCGCCATGGCCGGGAACATGAGCAGGCCGTTGGACACGCCCGATAGCACGCCCTGCGCCAGCACGAAGTGCCAGTACGCCGTGCACACGCTCGTGAGCATGACCGAGGCCAAGTATGCTATGGCCGCCGGCCGGATGACCTGTCGGTGTGCCCCCGTCGCGTGTCAGTTGGTTTTCTCTTCATTTTCCCAAGTCCTTCCTCCTCGGGCAGACACGTACCCAGGCTCCAAAGCGGTCGAAGATGGGCCCTCCCACGGCCCCGGACGCAAAGACCAGAAACACTTGGATGGAGCCGATCCAGGAGATGTCGTCTGGGCTGTGGTCTCGGAGCTGGTGATGCATGTAGTATGCTTGGAAGACGCCGAAGGAATTGGCATAGCCCAAGGTGCAGAACATGATTCCGGCGGTACCTGCTGCGCACAACCAAGCTTCCTTGCCACCGTCGGGGAAGTCCTCGCCGTCGTCGGGTCCATTTGTCTGCGTGTTTGCGATCAGGCTCTGCTGAGATACATGCTCGCCCACCACCTTGTCATTTGGGCCGCCGCCTTGGTTGCTGAAGGCTGCCGGACCTGTTCCCAGACTTTGTAGGCGATTCTCCATGGCCATGGTCGATTTGCTTGCTTTTTTCTCAAAGTCCTATCCCATCTTTTCCGTCTTCCACCAGCAGAGATGTCGGGCGTGCCGTATTTTATAAGGCATCGAGCCCCTGGACACTGACGGGCCTCAGGGCGGCCGACAGGATCACTCGCTAAACATCATTACCGGCCACGACTTCATGCTGTGCTCAGTCACGATTCACATACCCTCGGCCGATTCTCAAAATCGCCGACACTTGCATGAAATTAATGACTTCTCACTACCTAGGCATTTTGTGCGACACATCTCCATTCCCTTCAATCCTCCTTCTCGGACATCCGGGCTTGGCAGATATGGCGCTTCAACGCCGCGACATTGGCAATAGTCGACGCGGGTCAGAGCCCCGGCGACATATTGCAAAGTCTACTACCAGTAGATGACGCCACTCGACGGCATCCAATGGTTGTCTGTGTACCGTACATTCGGTGCCCCTTTTTGGCCATGAAAAAACCATCCCTCGCTTCCCTCAGGCGATCCGGCCCCACTCAGCATCACTGCGGGGTAACACCGCCTACTTGAGCCCAGGCACCCCTCATTGGGAGCATAATGGAGCTTGTGCTTACGAACTCCCAAAGCAACCAACCGCCTTCGATTTTGCGTCGACAAGGACGACATCGCTGTATCGCTGGGCCGATTTATTGAGGGAAGCAAAGTCACAGCGCCATGGCCTCTGAAGCACCACCCTATCCACGATTTGAGCCCGGTGATCACGATGCTTTCATGGAGCTCGCCATCGAGGAAGCCAAAAAGTCACAACCAGATCCGGGCAAGTTTGCCGTCGGGGCCGTGCTCGTCGACGCCGACACGGGCCAGGTCCTCTCCTCGGGGTTCTACCTAGAGTACCCCGACGACTACCTGGGCGACGTTGGCTCGACCCACGCCGAAAGGTCCTGCTTCATCAAGATCGCTAAAGCATACGGTATCCCTGAAGACCGCATCCACAAGGTGCTGCCACCCAATACTGCCGTTTATACGACCTTGGAGCCGTGCAGCGCGAGGCCCAGCGGCGACACGCCCTGCATCAGTCGCATTTTGGGGCTCCGGAGCGTCGTCAAGACGGTCTACGTGGGTATCAGAACGCCAGGGGCATCCCCTGCGCGCGACTATGGGAAGGAGGCCCTGGAAGCGGGCGGTGTAAGCGTCATCTATCCATCTGAACACCTGAAAGACAGGATAACAGAGGTCTCCATGGCTGGGGGAACCAAGGCTTGAACACACTCACACACGATGCAGGATAAGGAAAATACATGGCTACGTGGGCAGCCCGCCGTGTAATCGCAACCCGTACTTCCCTTTCCTTGTTCCCAATAAGTGCGAGACGGTGAGAATAAAGGCCATTAGTTAGAAAGACCGTGGTTTCCTTTAAATTTCGGGGGCGCTTTTACCTTTTAATCCTTCGCCAAGCATCCTCATGTAAGTCCGCCCCGAGGCCAGTAGCGCGGGGTACCTGACGTTCTTTCACAGCATTGGAGCCGCTGGCCACATAGGAAGCTCTGTTCTCGCTGGCCTAAAAGACCTCAATCTCGACGCCCGAATGGCAGCCCTGGCTCGCACCGAGAAAGATTTCCAGGCCTACTCGGACATTTATCCCGGTGTGAGGTGCGTGCTTGGCTCGATGGAGGATTTTCCAATGCTGGAGCAGGAGTCTCTAAAGACAGACATTGCCATCAGTAAGTAGACAAGTGAGGATGGGACGCGAATCATGGCAGGCGTTGCATTGAGATCAATTTACAATCAGGGTATTGGTGGCTGACACGAGCTATGCCTACCCTTTTCCAGACACATCTCCGGACATTCCCCACGAAGCGGGAATACGGATCATCTTGACGGCCCTCGCCAGGCCACGGGCACCAGCCACCCCGAGAGACCTTCTACATCCACACACCCGGCGCGGCCAATATATGGACGGAGCCCACCGGGCAGCCCTCGGACCGCGTCTGGGACGACGTCGCCGACCTCGAGGAGCTGTCGTCCCTGCCGGACACCGCCACGCACTCGGCCACAGACCGACTGGCCGCGCAGCAGCAGGTGAAGCCGACAGTGGACGGCAAGTTCATGGGCGACGGCGGCGCCGGCAACACGCTCCGGACCGCCATCATCGCCCCGCCCGACGTCTTCGGCCTCGCGCCCGGCGCCAAGCGCCGCACGCCGCTGCTGCTCGGATACGTCGTCGACGTGGCGCGCCGCGTCGGGGGCGCCTTCCGCGTCGGGCCCGGCGACAACATCCTCGCCCTCGTCGACGTGCGCCACCTAGCGCGCCTGTACGCCAGCCTCGTCGGGGACGCCCTGCGGCGCCTGGGGCGGGCGTCGCAGGGCGCTGCCGCCGCCGCCGTCGAGGGCGTGGTCGACGCCGGCAGCGGGCTCGAGATGTGGGGACCGAAAGCCTACTACTTCATCGAGACGCAGGAGCTGACGTGGCGCGAGCTTATGGGTGACATGGTCGTGCCGGCGCTCAAGAGGCACGGCGACGAGGCGTTTGCCGCGTGGGACCAGGGGCAGTTTGAGGTGGTCAGCCTCGAGGAGGTCAAATCTCACATCATGGCGCGCTTCGGCGGCTTGGAGGGTGCCGAGGTCTGGAGCGGGCATGTCGCCGAGAACATGGCGGTTACGATGCGCACCAGGGGCTCCAGGGCCGCTGCTCTGTTTGGCTTGCGGCCGGAGGACGCAACTTTGGATATTGAGCGTGATATCAAGGCATAATCGGGTGTGGTCTGATGCGTTGGCTCCCTGGATGGCGAGTAAGTGCCGTATTGTTCCCAAGACAAATACTCGTTTTCCTTATCGAGCTTGAACATCTACTAGAATGAGTAGGCAAAAGCCCCTACTGTTTATCAGCATTTATCCAATCCACGATCCCAGATGAGAGCGCACTACATTATGCCCAGACGGTTAAATGGAAAGCCGCGCTGGAGTACGCCTCCAAGGCATATTTGATGCAGGGGATCCTACGCCGCAACGCCTGGTGCTTGCTGGCGAAGCGCGAGGCAACCAAGTCCAGACCGCGCACCATCTCGAAAAGTGTCTCCCTTCACTTTGCCCCGCGCTTCCCTCGATGTTGCACATCTCACCTTGGAATCCCCCGCGCTGTTGCCCGCTAGCCTACCCATTTCCCAACTTTCCCGAGTGTCCAGTACATGTAATTCCATACTTCACGCCAAATCCAACCGAAGGACAGCTAAATCGACCGACCCCATTACCCAGCGACGCAATAATGTCGACATACCAATACAGCCCGATTGACCTCTCCACCGACGCGCTCCGGCTGGTGCGCCTCCCCCGTGACAACGATGAGCAGAGTGACATCAAATGCGAACTGGTTGAGACCTTCCTCCACCAAGTCGAAGTCGTTCCGTACGAAGCCCTCTCGTACACCTGGGGGGAACCCGTCTCCCGGGTTTGAGATTTCTCTGAACGGCTTGCGCCACGCGGTCACGCCCAACCTCTACAAGGCCCTACAATGCCTGCGCCATCAAGATACAGATCGAATCCTCTGGATCGACGCCATCTGCATTGACCAAGGGAACCACATAGAACGTGGCCATCAGGTCGGCCAGATGAGACTTATCTACCAGAATGCGGACAGGGTTCTCATCTGGCTCGGCCCGGGCACCTCCACGACAGATCTCGTCATGGACTGGGTCAAACGATTGGACCAACGGGTGGTATCTAGGCCAGACCATATCCGCAGCTCCACCGCGTCCTGGTACCAGGCCCCTTGGCACACAATCGGCGGCCTTGAAGATGAAGATGGAAAAGTTGGCGAGGCAACCCCAGGGCTCCCACATACGCGGCGACGCAGCCCTGTCCTCACTTCATTATACCACAGCCCTTGGTTCCACAGAGTTTGGGTTATCCAAGAGGCCGCCAGTGCCCGGGCCGCAACGATTATGTACGGCCGGAAATGGGCTCCCTCGCGCACCTTCTCTATCCTCCCGAAGCTTATGGGCATTGATGTGGATGCCGGGACCCAAGCTGTGCTCGATATTATGCCGGGTCCTTTACGCGGATCAAGTTGGCGGAGAAAAAAGCGTGATCTCGCAACACTCATCGGCAAATTCTACGGCTGTCAGGCCAGCGACCCACGCGATAAAATCTATGCGCTGCTTGGAACCTGCTCAGATTCCATCATTTGCGAAAATCTCCGGCCTGATTACAATTTATCCAGAGAGGAAGTTATTCAAAAGACCTTTACCTTGATTCTCCTTCCGATTACGGATGTCTCGCTCGCGAATCTCTGGCGACTCCCGTCTGGTTGGGACTTCGAGGCGTGGACGAGAAAAATCCGAGAACTCCAACGCAATATCATCGTGTGGTCCTTATTTCGCGACGACAAGGCACTGTCGCTTGCCCTCTTGTCCAAGCTTCCAACTAACTACATATTGGAAGAGTTTTCTCCTAGACAGAAGTATTGGTATTTTTATGGCGCCGGACTGCAACGCAGGGATCAAATGAGCGATTCCAATGGCGACTTGGAATTACGCACCTTCATCTGTCCATATCCTGCGGTCGCAGACACCACCTACCGCCTCCTTACTTCATGGTTGCACAAAGACACCTTCCCTGATGATAATCAACGCAACCGATACGTTAGTTATCCTGAATTCTTCCCGTTTGTTTATATCGCGTTACGAGAGGGGAACTACGATTTTGTAAGGATGGTTTTCAATCGGTTCGCGGGGTCTGTTTATATTGAAGACGAACATTGGGATACTTGGTTTGACTCTTTAAACTAATTACTCCTAGCGGTACGAATCAATATGCTTTCAGCTAAGCCGCATTTACTTCCACTCTGTCTTTAACGCAATTAGTTCCATGTTATAAAGGTCTTCCCAAATGGTTTCTCGTGTACCCAGGCAGCGTTACCCTGTAAATAGCTAGCTAACTGCCCTTTTCAACTTGGCTTTGTTGAGCGCTAGCACTATCACTTTCTACTTTACATTGATAAGCAAGTATGATCTGCCCATGACTCCCCTGTCAACCGCAAGTACGTGCTGTCGACCCACTGCCCCCCGACCTGAAACGTCTTCTCCCGGAAGTCATACTCCTCGAAGCCTAGTTTCTTCAGCAGCGCCAGCGACGCAGCGTTGCGCGGATCCACGTCGGCGACAATCAGCTGTTCCCTCCCGACATCGCCGTGGCCCGCAAACAGGTAGTCGAGCACGAGCTTCAGCGCCTCGGCCGCCAGGCCCCGCCCCCAGTACGGCCGAGCGAGCATGAAGCCGATCTCGTTGTCGCGCCAGACGCCGGCCTTGCCGATCGGCAGGAGGTCTTTCTCCATCTCACCTCCTTGGTCCTGCTGCTTGCCGTCGTCTTTGGTTTCGGCCCCTGTGCCATTTCGCTGAGGATCTTTGGAATCTCCGTCCTGGGAGGGCCGGAGGCGGGGCCTCCTGAGGCAGACGATGAAGTCGGTCACGCCGTTGCAAGGGGCCTCCGTCATGCCGTGCACCCATTGTTCCGTGTCCGACAGGCTCTCGTGAGGTAGCGTGGACCTGTTTATATTGGAAGACTCGGAGTGTTAAGAAAGGTTCACTTTCTGACAAAGCTTTCCGAGCTAACGAAAAAGGTAAATAGCATCTCAGCTGACGATAGACCAGTATCGGTCACAGTTCAGACATACCAGTATCTCATGACCTCAGGGTCACTAAACGCCTTGTGCAGCTCGGCCGCATCCTCGTCAAGGGCGCCTCGCAGGACCAGTCTTGGGGAACGAAGCTGGAAGGTTTGCGGCTCCATGACTTCGGTCTCTGGGGCGAAATCGTAGCAATTGGGATTTATTCCACTTGGTGTATTGCTGGGATATGTCACCTTTCTTCCCCTCCAAACCCTTGGAAATCATCTTATACATGCCAATCTGCTTTCTCGCAGTATTCTTTGCATTGTAGGTGTCCTTCCAGCGGGCAGAACTTGCGGTGTGGGCAGGCCGTATGAGTCAGCCGGGTCAGGGGCCCCATACAAGGAATACGTGCTGTGATACCCAAAGCGGCATGGACTCCCTTGGGCTACCGCGGCGAGCAAATCAGGCGCGACATGATCGGGAGAACTATCGGGAGTGGTCATGATAGGTAGGAGGAGGAGCGAGCCGTGGGCATGGTTGGAAATGCACATGCCGGGCCCGCCCCTGTTTGGAAAGTATCAACAGGACAGCATCGCACATTAATCGCATAGAAGCTCGGGTAGGAAAGGTGCCGCAAAAAAGGAGATTTGTGACGAACCAATTGGGCCACCAAGCCAAAAGCGAAGGCCCCCGCTGAGTGGCTGGTAGCTACCAAGTGGGTCTATCTCCGTTTGCGACAGGATTCCCCAGTGGTTACCCACCTGAGTACTAGTTCGGCCCTCATATATTTTGGTACTGGGAGCAATTTGGAGAAATTGAGATCCAAAGCGTCCGGAAACGGAGGTTTTAGCCTCCAAAAACGGGCGCCTCTGCTCCCCTTTGCTCCCGGCCAAGCGTTCTCCTACCGTCCAACGGCCGTTTGCTCCTATATACCCTTCCAACCCATTGTGACTGTTTCCGTAGCCACCCGCCTACCTAGCCAAGCCAGCGGCTTCCCCATGCCACGCGCCAGTCTAACTCAATTTTTCGCCATTACTGTCCGTCGCGAAGAAAAGCATGGTTACGAAGCTGGGATAGTCCCGGCCGCTGGTCACTGCGGACGGTAAAGCACTGGCACAGGAAGTCGAGCGCTGCCTGGTCCTTAGGCACTTAGGCAGTGCCACTTCGCGGTTAAGCACCAGGAGCTCCAACGCCGTGGTTATCTGGCTTTGCCTGGAGATTTCTGCCCCGACCGATGTGGCCGAGGCGTAATTGGCGACGATGCCGGGCCTGCCCGATGGCACCTGGGCGGCGATAACGCCGAGCAGCCAGCCGTTTGCTTTGCGGAGGCCGTCGGTCCCACCGATTACGAGCTCCGGCAGCGCTAGCAGGGCAGGGCAGGCGGTAACATCTGGCCGGTCATAGCGACGTCCAGCAGCGGAGCTTCGACTTTGGTGTTGTTCAAGTGGTTTATCCAAACGTGGCGCGCGTCGGGCAGCACGGCCGAAAGGCCTCGGGCGGTGCGGAGCCCGTCGAAGCCTTTGGCGACGGAGCGTATGATGTTGCGCGCCAAGTCCATGGGCACTGCCCCTTGTAGCGGCTCGAGGAAATCTGAGAGCGTGCCGCCGTGGGCGACGCCGGTGAGCACTTAGGTGTGGTCGCCCCTATGCTGGTAACCAAAGTATGGCAGGGTGTGCTGCTGCCATTCCTGGTCGCGGCATCCGGGGGTTTGGTCCAGATGGGCGAGCGCCGTGGCCAGCGCGGGCGGATCGAGGTCGAGGCGTTCTGCCGCAAGTAGCTCTCCTGTGGCATTGTCGAGGGCCAAGAAGATGGCCCATATCGCCCATCGCGGACCTTATCGTCGTTTAGCATCCACCCGAAGCTGACGGTGCCGGCGCGCTCCATTCTTATGGGTGCAACAAGCGCGAGAGAAAGGTGGCTTAGGTGCAAGCAAGAATGAAGAGGTCGGTGGCATCTAGTGTCGTTATGCATAGGATAAAACACAATACCGCACCCAAACGGGTTGTGGAAGATTCTGGCCGATATATACGTCGTGCGTACGTACCCTCTCATGCCGGTTTAAATTCAGTAGGACGAACCAGTGCGCCGCGGCGGAAAGTCAAAAACAAGTAACGATCCCACCACGAGGCCAGAACAGGAAAGATAAAAAAGACCTGTGGAAATGCTATGTATCTGCACAGCGTAATTTGGCTGTCTCTCTACATACAAGGGCCACGCTTGGGCGAAACCTCGATCCCTGCTAAGTCCCTTCATCCTAGCTTTTTTTGCATTGTTTCGCTGAATTAAACCGGCATGAGAGTGTATCACAAAAAAGGTCATCACCAAAGGTCAGCACGCTGTTCCAGGTCTTGGCACGGAAGATTTGCACGTGCGCCGGGCAGATGCTTACCGAGCACTCGTCGGCAATAGCAAGGGTGCTGCACATTCGCCCGATGGTGAAGGGCCGCAGGGACAGCTTAGCCAGCCGTCGGTTTACATCGGCCAGCCCCTCGCGAGAGGGCAGTCGAGTGCAGGCGTCCGTCCAGCTCGGAAACCCTTCCGCGCCACCCTCGATGGCGTTCCAGCAACGGGTGGCCGCTAAAAAGTCGAAAGGCGTGGGCAAAAGGAAGTAGTCGTCGTCCAGTAGCCAAGGGTGTGTTACAAACAGACATTCTGCTTTAGGGAGGGCCGCCTAGGGGAAGTGCTCTGAGCAGTGCCTTTGCCGGTAAGTGGGGGATTGAGTACCACGTGACAAGCCAAGTAATACGGAACTGGTTATAGTAGTTTGATTGCTTGCTCGAGGGGGTGGTCTGGTAAAGTCTCGATTATGTATTGGGAGGTCAGGTCCCGCCGCAGGCCGTGGGGGCGATAATGGCGTTGTCGTGGATCCTGACCCCGCTCTATCCACTGCTAGCCCACGGTCGTAGCAGGGTGGAGGACATGGGCCTTACCTTTTCGAGTGCCCAACACTTCCCATCCTCCAGCCTTGTGGGAGTTGCTGCCTTGAGTACCATTTCCCAGCAACACACCGACTTGAATCCCTTTATTCTTTTCTCGATCCCCGCCTCCTCTTTTCATTCCCCATGGGCCGCATTTGTGCCGACTGCGGGCGCGACCTGCCGCAAACTTCCTACACGGCAAACCAGTGGTCCAAGGGCGGCGGCTCCTCGCGCTGCGCCGGCTGCGTTCACGGCCACTACTCCGACACCTCGGCTGCCCAGCAATCCGATGCCGGCCGCCACAACATCTCCTCGCGCGCCGAGTACACCGTCCATGCCCTCGAGAATCCTTTCGCCTCGGGCGCGTTTCGTTGGGTCGCCAAAGGAAGCTACACCGAAGGCCCGCGCCAGGGCCAAGCCAGCGTTCTGAAATGGTTCAAAACGGGCGCTGTCTTTGAAGACGACTACTTCGTTCTGGACATCAAGGCGTCCGGTAAAGCCTTGGAGATTGTGAACCGCTTCAACCAGCTGGGTGTTGTGGACAAGGCTGTCAAAGTCAACGTTCCCCAGGTCTGGGTATTCGACAAGCATTCTGGTGCCTGGGCTGGCCAGAAAGGGCTAAGCGAGCCCTTCATCCAAAACTACCAAAAGTTCAATAGCAACACTGGCTGGAACGACGAGACGCGACCGTGGGCACAGGTAATGCAGGCTTTAAGTCGTAAGCACATCCCGCCATCTCCTTCCACAGCCCCAAAAAGGTCGTATACCCCGGAGCTCACATTGGCGTGTTTCTTTTGTTGGTTTTAGACTTCAGCTACCACATCTCCGGCGGCAACTACGTCCTCTGCGACCTGCAGGGCGGCATTTACCAGCAAGAGCTCGTCCTGTCCGACCCCGTCATCCTCTCCCAGACTCGCGAGTACGGCGTGACCGACCTCGGTGCGGAAGGCATCAGCTCCTTCTTCAGCCAGCATTCCTGCAACAACTACTGCCGCCCTAACTGGACTCAGCCGGCCAATCCGCGGACCTATTTCGACCCGGTTCCGGGCACGACCATGATTCGTCGCTCGGTGCCTACGGCCATGTCTAAACCCAACAGAACCCACTATTTTATCGCCTAACGAGGGGCTCGCGAGCACGAGTGGACGCTGTATTCGCATACAAGCTAACGAAGGGAAGCGTGGCCTTTGGGCGTGCAAGGTCGAGGGGGGCATACTTGACATACTTCCAGGCCTTTTCGTGGGCGACACTAAAGTGATGAAAGGCTTTCCGCCAGCTTGAGGTATGGGTTGGTCCTTTTTCGGATTTCTCGGTTACCGTTACGACCCAGCTGGCACAGGAGGGGCACGGGATGAGCGACCTCATCAAGAGAGGCGGGGGCATTATGTGACCCCTGACCAAGCACCAATGATGTGGCTGCTATGTCAAGAAAGCGACATAACAGACATAGCACCTGGCGATATGGCCGCTATACCGGGGAGACGACATCGCAAACATAACAACCAGCCTGGCGGTGTAAGAGAAAAATGTATAAGAAGGAGGGTTTTCCTTGTGTCCTAGATGGTCTTGACAGATGCAGTGGCATCAATCACTCTAGGTTAGCTTCCAAGTATCCCTTGGAGCAAGCATCCAGAGCTGCACCCAAGACCCCCTTGTTCCCCTTGTCTAGACAACACTACTGCCCGAGCTACAGCGCAAGTTCTGCCCCACCCCGGACCCCTATCCCCATCTCCTTGCTCGATACCAGCCGCACCAGAAAAGTAGACGCACCAGCGGGGGCGACTTTATCAACATATCAAGTCACCAGGAGCTGAAACGAATCAAACGAATCCCAGGCCGATTGCGCACCTGTGCACTGCCATCCGGGTTTCCACGTTCAGTGTAGCGGCAAATGGGGGCGCATGTTGATATCACGTGACCCTCAATCTGTATTTAGGTCTCTTCACTGGCACAGGCCCTTCGGGCCTATGCCTTAAATTTTTGTGCTAAGTCCCTAAATCCTGGCGCTAAATCCTAGCGCATGGGCCCTGTAAATGCCTAGAAAGAATGCCTTGCGGCTGACAAAAAAGACCAGCCCTCGTGTGCGTAAGGAATAGCGAACTGGTACACTAACAATGGAAAACAAGCATGAAACATCGGGAATATTCCTCCTTGGTACATCCAGCAGCCTGTTCTGCTAAGCCGGGATGTGTGCACATGTGCTACCTTCCTGCACACGACAGCTTAAACCAACGTAAACCACTCGGGCGCGGTCCCCTGCCCAGCCTCAAAAAACTTTCCACTCATATGCCCTTCCAGGTAGCACTCCCCGACGAACGAATAGGCCCGACGCCCCGGAGGTAAACAGCAGTCCTGCTCCGGCGAAACGGGCCCGGCTGTGTCGTGGCTCGGCAGCTCGCGCAGGATGAACGGAACGTCGCCGCCGTATAGCAGAACAACAATATCACCAGGTCGCGCGCCGGCAGGGCACAGCCCTTCGAGAGTCAGGGGAGGAAAGGAGAGCATGATCCGCGATCGTCTCCAGAATCGTCCTGAGGTATCCCTTGGTGACCCTCAAGTTCGTCCTTGATACTGTCTTTTGCTCTTGCGGAGTTCACTCGGCGGCAGTCGGCAGCAGCGTTGGCGATCGGGACGTTAGGCCTGGGTACCTCTAGTTTGAAATAGCAATCCGAAATGCAAGGGAAGGTAGTTATTTCGTTGAGGCGTCTACAACAACTGCCTCCACGACTATAGCCTGTTTTCGAATATCCGTGGTCCACAAGGTGAGCTTCAAAAGCGCGCGGCATATCTTTGGACGGAAACCTGGCAGCGTTCGCTTGGATGGTGGAACCGTGATTCCAGACCCCGAGACTCCCAGTCGGATCGAAAAGGTGAATGAAGGTGGCGGCAGTCATATCCCTCCGGCTCGTACCAGTATCGTCCAGCTCCTGGTCCGTCAGCTTTTCGAATAAGCGGGTTGTTGCGGTCCACCGCAAAACCTCAGTCCTGCGGATTTCGAATGGCCCTATTTCCGCAATTTTGCCAACGCGCTCACCCTCCAGGACCAGGAACCTCCCGTTGTGATTCTCCGAGCGACAGGTGTGCAAGTTTACCACAGTTTCGCCTGTCGCGTGAAACAGGTTCGGTTGCAAACCGAGTGCCTGAGCCGCCCAGAAAGAGTTGCCGCCATCGGGTACGGTCCATGAAGGGACATCTGTCTCGAAACAACTTTGAAGATGCTGATACCTGGAAGAAGCAGACTCTGGAGCCTCCCATTGATGAATTTCCATGTCCTGCCACGCCCTGTCTCTGGCGGCATGAACGGCCGACAAGACGCTGAGCTTCTTGTAGGTCTGGATCCACCACCGGGTGAAGTCGGCATAGACTTGAGAGACGGGCTTTTTGTAATTTGGCCGTAAAAGCAGCGGAATACCGTCCTGTGTGCTTGTTTCTTCGCCGAGCCCCAGCATGGCGAAGATCTTGTCCCTTGAATCAGAGGCGCGGAGCTCAAGACTGCCGAGCACAAGGGTGAGCATCTTGACTCGGCGCTTGTTCTTTACAGGTTTGTCCTGCGCTGGCATCTCTGCTGACAAAATCGGCGAGAGGGGTGGGATTCTGTCCTGACCGTCTTCGATTGTCGTCCACAGCGAAGGGAGCGTTCTTAAAGCGGTGCCGGGACCACCACCTCCTCGCATCCATTCGCTTGCCATCAGGATCGAGTCCCAGGACACCGTATCCTTGCCGCAGTGCACCGTCGCCTTTCTGGCAAGCCACCTCTCTTGCACCACCCAGACCCGGCCGAACCAAGGAAAGCTAAAGAAGCGCGATAAGTGGATGGCGTAGTCCGGATTCATTTGGTCCCACTCATCTTTCGGTCTGCGCCTGAATTCGGTGCGTAAGTTCCCCGTCGCTTCAAGGGCTCGCTGGTCCGGGTCGCCGAGCCATATCACAACCGAGGATGCCGTCGCGAAAATGGTGCCCATAAGCGACACCTGCGAGCTGCGCTCATCCAGGTCGTGCTGGTTTATGCATACCGCATCGATCCACACTGGACGAGAGGGCATACCTTCTGGCCGGCGGAGGCGTCTCAGAGCCACTTCAAGATTGGCTGTGATGCCCATGGTGCACATCTGATTATTTTCGTCACCCAGTACGTTCAATGGCGTGACCTTTGTTGCAGATCCCCAGCAATAGGATAGTGCTTCGAAAGCCGGGAGACCAGCGTCATCAAGAGCCACCGTCTCCAGGTGGCAGAATAGGGGGGCGGTTTGCTGTCCCGAGTGGAGGTGTAAAAGCCTGATCTCCTTTGACTTGCGACTCAAAGGTCTGTAGTGATTCGGCTGTGCCGTGCCTTCATCCGACTCTGAGGGCCTCTGCTGTGAGGGTTTTGGATCAAGGGTACACTAAGCCTCGACGGAAACCCTGCGGATGTAGTTCCGCCAAGCGGGGAATCTGGCTTTGGGGATGATATGGATAGTATCATCGGCCCCAAGGCTTAGCAAAATTTCGGGGACACCCGGATCGGAATCGCCTGACAACCACGTTCTAGTCGTCCTAGTATAGCTCGATTCAGCAATTGGATTTGTCCGAATGTGCTGGGGCGTTGGGATGTCTCGTCCTGACGGTCTTGAAAAGTGCACGTCAAACCAGGACCAGGGGCCCCTGGATTTGTCGGAGCAAAACCCTTGGTCGTGGGCTTCGATCGTGAAGGTGACGCTTTGTACCGCCTTGACGTCGTGTGGAAGGCAGAGCGATATGTAAGGGCGTTGAGGACAGTTGGATGTGATGTCAATGTCCTCTCGCCTATCCGCCAGTATTATTGCCGTCGTACTGGTAATATCCTTCCGTGTGACGGCCATATCTTGTTGATCTAAAAGGGTGCTGGGATGAGTTGGAGTTACTTCAATGTGAAGGGGCGTCACGATGGCCGGCGGTGGTTACGATCGTGGTAGGGGAGATGGGAAATGAGCGAGATTTCGTAGACTTTTTGATTCTTGCCTACTCGCCCGGTTGGCTAGGCGCCGATGTCATCTTGATAAACTAGCACAACATCATGCGGCCGGCGGTCGAATGATCAAGACTTAAAAGAGCACATTGATGCATTGTCACATTGCCGGATGTCATTGGCAGTGCCTCGCGCTTGACGCGGAGGTAGCCTTCCTAACTGCATAATAGGCGCCGCCACACAGCGGGGATGGATGTTCAGCTCACAAATGCACAAGTGCCCGGCTGTCGGCACGAGTTCTGGAGAGCGTCACAGATGGCACAAGGTGATAAAGCCAGGCCCGGCCAGCTCGTCAGCCTTACGAGATGATGTTTGACATGGGTGGGAGGGATGGGCTGAAACGAGTCACGCCTGCCTGTCTGCCAGAGTCGTGTCGAATGGATGGATGTGGAAGGTGCGGCCTGGAACGTTGGGTTGTTGCCGCTGTGCCTCGAGCCTGCCTATGTCGCTCGAGATCGAGTTTGCGGGGTTGCCGAGATCACAAGTGTCCAGCGGGCAACACACATTCTAGAAGTTAAACAGGGTGACATCCTGCATATATATAGCAGCGCGATGAGCTCAATCGTTCTGCGCTCGGAGCGCACGTCCACGCGTCTGTCCATCGTATCCACCTGATCCCAACATCACCACCCCGGAGCTCTCCACTGCCTGCTATAATTATCCTGCCATGGGCTTCCATCGAAGTAAAAAATCTCAGCCTGGGCTTCTATTAATCGCCAAAGCTTCACATCCAGATGGAGAGTGTAAAAAAGCGAATCGGTCGGCTGCGTCAGAGGTTCGGACGAGCAGCGAAGTCGGAGCGACAAGTCCTACCCAATTTGGGGACCACGTCGTTCCCGCGTCTCGTGTGAGGAAAGGGGGAGATGGTCATTCGGGAATGCAAGAGATTTTTTGGATTGGCCATTAAACGACAGCATGCTGTTTCTAAATCTAACCGGGCACCCTCCAGCCCTATCCACCTATCCTTACCAAAGACCACAGCGATGCCAAACTTGGACAGGAGAAACACGCTAGCAAGGGGAGATAAAAATGAGAGACTCTAAGAAATACAGGTCGCCCGCCGTCTAGTGAAACAGGCAAAGCAGAGCTACATATATATAAAAAAAAAAGCCCAAGGACAGTCGCGAGGTCAAAGCAGAAGAAATGTGCCCGCGGCCACGACGCCCAGCCACGAGAGCACAGCGACGCGGTCCGAGGGCACAGAAGCGGCGGTGGCCACGCTGGTGATGGGCGGGTCGGGCAGGCGCGTGACGATCAGCACGGTGCCGTTGACGTCGGTCGTCGCCGACGGCGCGGCCGTCGTCGTCACGTTGGCCATCTGTATGACCACGGGTGGTGGCGGCGGCGCCAGGCTGGTGGACGACGCGGGCAGCGAGGAGGAGGAGGAGGAGGAGGAGAAGTCGGACGACGGCGACGACGAGGAGGACGATGCGGCAGCAAGGGGCAGCAGGTCCGCGGGCGCCGTGGTGGTCTGGAACGGGTCGTCCGTGTTGGTGGTGGTGGCCGTCGCGGCGACAGAGAACGGCGACGATGACGACGAGCTGTTGTTAGCAGCGGCGATGACGGTGGCGACGCGGTTGACGGGCACGAGCACGATGCGCGTGCGGCCCATCTCGACGACGGTCGTGACGGTGCTCTGGGCCGGGTCGTAGTAGATGGTGGACCGGGTGGGCGTCGCGGTCGTGACCAGGCCGAGGCCGTCGGGCGCCTGCACCACGGTCGTGATGAAGTAGATGTTGATGAAGATGCAGAGGCCGCCGGGCGGGCACTCGGGCGCGATGGCGGTCGCGGTCGCGGTCGGGGCCGGCGCGCCGCCGCCGTTCTTGGTGCAGGTCGGGCAGGTCGGGAGCGTCGTCGTCTGCGTGACGACGGACACGTTGTTGGCGGGCCTGGTGGCGCCGCCGCCGGTAACCAGGGGCGGCGGCAGGCTCGTGGATGGGGTGTTTGTGGTTGCTATTGTTGGGGCTGACGAGGTGCTAACAGTGGACGGTGTTGTTGTCGCCGGCGGCAGCTCCGTGGACAGGGTGGTGGTGCTGCTGGGCGTGGCGGTCGAGTTGTCGACGCGCATGATGGAAAACACATTGTATATCGGGTCGCCGTCCTCGGTCGAGCCGCCACAGCTCTCGTTCTGGAAGGGCGCCTGGCAGCTGAAGTTGCAGCTCGAGGCCCCCAGAATCTCCACGGGCTGTACATCGTTGGTGCAGGCACAGAATCTGCAGAGGTAAGCTGGTTAGCATGGCGTACGCCCACCTACAAGAGATGTGTCGAGGGAAGCAACATACTGGGCGTAGACGGCTGCGTGCGTCATGTTCTTCCCGACGCAGAGGTTTGCACATGGCTGAGGCGCGTTGACCCCGTCACTGCTGTCTGCCGCCAGGGGGATCGGGGTGATGTCGCCGAAGGTTGAGGCGCTTATCACCATGCACCCTTGCGGCACCAAGATCTGCTGTGCCAGTGATGTGGCCGCCAGCAGGGAGACGACGCCCAACAGCTGCGTTGTCATGATCTTATACATCGCGATGTCTGAGGAATATGCGAGAAACCGGCTCTCAAAAGAATGATTAGAAGTCCTGCTTCAGGGTTGTTGTGGTTTGTCTGTTTACACGAGATGTGAGGAGAAGGTGTTGGATGATGATGGAGACAAGAAACGAAACGGTTCCAACGACCGACGCCGACGTCAAAATATGTACTCAAAATAGGAGAGGCGGGAAGCTCTTCAAGTCGGCCCTGTGGCCTGCCAGCCGCCTCACCTCGCCTCTCCGAAGCATCCATTGTCTCCCCCCATTTAGAGGGGCGGGCAGGGAGCGCCGCGAAACAGAGTCCCCCGAGACCGAGACAGTCCGAAAAATGGCGGGGAGCATTCTCCAACGCGGCCCGTATTGACGGCTGAGACACCCCCTTCCGGGCTTCAGAGAGGCTCACGCAACCGCGCCTGGCCCCGCAGAATCCCGCCCAAGGGAGGTCCGCATGCCACTGGCGACCTTTTTGCCTCCGCCTGGAATTCCAGGTGTGCGTGGTGACCCAGGCTGAGGCCGCCGACGTTCCCCCCGCCGCTGGATATTCACGCCCTATGTGTCACTCAGCTGAGATCAACGAGCGGCGTGGCGAGGGCGGGGTAAAACCAAGGATATCGAGTTTCGACGGCTGGGAGGGCAATGAGGAATTCCTCCTCGTGCCCCACCCATCTATTCCAGCCACAGGGATGCGTCCATCGAATGCAGCATTCGCGGGGAGCTGGCTAAAGAGCTGTAAAGTCTCCACTGGAGGCTCGCAGCTAGAACACCCAAAGCAGACAGTAAAACTTTTCCTGTGCATGGCATGGGAAGAAATCTTTATAGGATGGGGAGAATGAGTAACAAATGTCCGGGAGAGAGGTGGCGGAGCGCGTTTATCGCGGTAGCCATGTGAGTTTCGCGTAAAGAGAGGGCAGACGCGTCTTACAGTATCCCACGATCGCGTGCTCGCCGCCACAGGTGGGGAGTGGGTTAGGTGACACGTGAAGTTCATGCGAAGACCAGCCAAGCACCGACAGCGAAGCCACAACCTCGACTGCTTTTCACGTGAAATATAGATACAGATAGGCAACCCTCAAGAAACTTGCGCGGCTAGTGAGATTAAATGTTAGAACTCCGCTGCCGATATCAGCAAGACGTCAACACTGAGACAGCAGATGACATGATGGCATACAATGCTGGTCTAGATATAGCGAACGTAGATGAAAGAACATGAGAGAGATTCGACATAACCCAAGAAACTTCATACACGGCGTGCTCGAATTACAAGGAGAAGGTGGTACAAGGAACCAACATCACATCTTCATGCCCATCATCTTGGCGACGCGCATGCTCTGCCGTATGCTCAGGTCGAGCATGATCTCCTCGCTGCCGCCGGGGATGGCGTACGCGCGCACGTCGCGGTACAGCCGCTCGACCTTGCCGCCCTGCCCGCCGCGTGAATAAGACAGGCCGCCAAAGATCTGGCTGGCCTCGCGCGCGCAAAACTCAAACGTTACCGTCGCCTGCGCCTTGAGGCCGGCGATGGGCCCGCCGAGCACCATCATGGCCTGCGTGTCATCCATCTTCTCGCACTGGTAGACCACGTTCTCGAGCCAGTTGTACGACGCCTCGATCTGGCGCGCCATGTGTGCCAGCTTGAGCCGGATCACCGGGTGCTCAATCAGCTTCTTGCCAAAGGTGCGACGCTTGTTGGCGTACTTGACCGACTCCTCGTAGCACACGCGGGAGAAGCGCAGGCACTGGATGATGATGCCAACGCGCTCGTGGTTGAAGTTGGTCATGATGGCTGTAGTTGTTGAGCGGGCACATCAGCAAAAATATGGCTTGCAACACAAAAAGGACGCATAGATAATAACAGTCTAAACATACCCTTGAATCCCTGGTTCTCCTTGCCCAGCAGGTTCTCGACAGGCACCTTGACATCCTCAAATGTGACGTAGGTGGTGCCGCTGGACCAAACGCCCTGGCAGTCCATGCGACGCGTCGACACGCCACCCATGCTGCGCTCGATGAGAAGCAGGCTGACGCCGCCCATGCCAGGGCCGCCGGTGCGGACGGCCGTGGTGAAGTACTCGGACCAGATGCCGTTGGTGATCCACTTCTTCTCGCCGTTGACAATGTAGTGCTTGCCGTCCTCGCTCAGCTTGGCCTCGCACGTCAGGTTGGCCACGTCGGAGCCCGCGTCCGGCTCAGTGATGGCCAGGCAGATGCGCTTGTCGCCATTGAGGATACCGGGCAGGATGCGGTCCACGAGCGGCTTCTTGCCAAACTTGACCAGTGGTGGGCACCCGATGCCAAAGCCACCGATGACGTTCCACACGAAGCCTCCCGACCCCGCGCGCGACAGCTCGTCCGTGATCACCAGCTCGTGGAACAGGTCCCAGTCCTCGGGTGCTACGCACTTGACCGGGTTGTCCACGTGCTTGGTCTGGTATTTGGTGCCAAGAAGACCGGCCAGGTAGCCGCGGCGGCCCATCTCCTTGTAGATCTCGGCCGGCGCCTCCTTCTTCTCGTCCCACTCGGTGACATTGGGCTCGATCGCAGTCTCGATCCACTCGCGAACCTCGGCCCGGAGTGCGGCGTGCGACTCGTTGTAGTAGGGCGAATGGTACTGTTACGCGAAAGCAGTCGCTCAGGAGTTAGCGGCGACGATTTGTCAGCGCATGCGCCCACTAATACTCAAGGAGATGGGGGAGAGCTTACACTCTGGTACCAACTCGGGTCGCCAAAGGGAATCAGGGGTCCAAAGGGGTCCTGGGCTTCCGACTCCTCTCCTGCCGCAGCCTTCTTGACAGGCTTAGCAGCCTGCTTCACGACGGGCGCGGGCGCAGCGGCCGGCGCGGGCTCGGCCTTTTTCTTGGTGTCCAGCGAGCCGACCTGCAGCTGCGCCTGGAACTTCTTCAGGATGCCCTCGTTGTGGTACTTCCAAAACTGCTTCGAGGCGTCCTTGCCAGCGACGCGAGTCAAGATCTTCTTGCCACCTGTGGGGAGCCCTACGTTAGCAAGACCACTTGTCACACAGCACTCCGATAGGAATGCGAGCCAAATTCCCAGAGGGAGAGAGGAGTCGCGTTCGCGTACCGGGATGATCATCTTGGAACTTGGTGAGATCGTAAACGTCGCCGTCGACAATGATGTACAGGTCATTCGGCTTGTTGTGTGACGCGACGTCGCTCTGCGTGAACGTCTTGGACATGGTGGGCAACAGGGGGCGCAATGAGGCAGCAGAATTAGGCAGGGGAGGTAGAGAAGGGCGTGGTGATGGGTCGGTCAGCGTAGGATCGACCAGTTTGTAGAAAGGGAGAGCTCGAGGTGAAAGGAGGGATTCGAGCGTCAAGGTCTTGGGATTCCAACCCCAGACTTTTAAAGCGAGCACGCGGTCGTCGTCGGCATTGCCGGCCGCGGGCGCTACCAGGTTTGCATGTGAAGGTCAGCAGCTGCGACAGCATAACCCCAGTGTGGGGTAAAAACTGGGGTGCATCCCGGGGACTGGTCGCGCTTCCAGGCAATGCTCCTTTGCCGACGGCCGAATACGTTTTGCTGGACTTTGGGCAGCCAATTGAGATGGATGAATTACGTAGATTGCCTATCTGAGCTAGTCCGAAAAGACGCTAGTCCCAACCAAGCATGTTGCTCCCCTTTTCCTGCGACCCCAAGCAGCATACTAGTACACCACCACATTGCATCTCGAGAGCACTCACGCCGCTCTGAGTGGGTACCTTCACGCCTTGAGCTCCGACACACCAGCGCTGACCTCCTTCTCGTTACCCGACTCGTCGCCGCCGTCGAGACCGACGTCCCTGCGGGCCTGGGCGAGAAGAAGGGCGTCCTCCTCGCCGGTGCGGCTGCCGAAAACGCGGTCCATGTCCTCGAGCGTAGTTCCCTTGGTTTCGGGAAGGCAAAGCCAGACCCAAACGATACCACCCCCGAGGAACACGGCGAAGAAGATATAAGTCCCCCATTTCCACGTGTCGAACATGGGAGGGACGAAGAAGGCGACGGCGAAGTTGTTGACCTGTTCCGTGTGCGAGCGGGCTTTTGTTAGTTGACGGAACGCCAAGAGGCCTCACGTGCGGCTTTTCCGCGAGATTAGACAATAGCTTACCCAGTTGCTGGATGCGCCAATCGACGCACCCTTGGCGCGGATGGACAGCGGGAAGATCTCGGATACGAGGGTCCACGACACAGGTCCCCAGGTGGCACCAAAGGCGCCGACGTAGATCCAAATCATGGCAACGGCGCCCCAACCGGCATTCGCGTGCGCAACCCAGTCGTGGCCGAAAGTAGCCACGATGATGGCCGGGATCACCATGGTCGCCAGCATCACCAGCGATCCGATGATCAGCATGGGCTTGCGGCCGACGTTGTCGATGATGAGCATGGCCGGGATGGTGCAGACCAGGAAGACGACGCCCGTCACGCCCGTGGCCAGCAGCGCCTGCGTGCTCCCGGTCAGGCCGAGGCTCTGGAACACGTTGGCGGCGTAGTAGATGATGGCATCGATGCCGCTCCACTGCTGGAAGAACATGACCAGCCAGGCCGTCGACACGCGCTTGAAGCTGTCCCAGTTGCGCAGGATCTGGTAGTACTGCGCAAACTCGCGCGACAGCACCGACGTCTTCTCCTTCTCGGCCAGCTGCGGGAAGTTCTTGGCAAAGGCGCGGCGCTCGAACAGGACCTCGGCCTGGATCTCCTTGAGCTCGACCTGCACGCGCTCGTCCTCGACGGGCAGCTTACGGAGGTAGGCGAGCGTCTTTGCCGCCTCGTCGGTGCGGCCCTTGCTGGCCAGCCAACGCGGCGAAAACGGCAGCCACCAGATGCCAAAGGCAAGCATGACGGCGGGGATGCCCTGTATTATCGACGGGAGCATCCACGACAGGTTGGACTGGCCCTCGCCAGTGCCGCCAATATTGTTGCTTCCATAGCCGATCCAGAAGGAAAGCATGATGCCGAGAATCGTCGCGAACTGGTAGAAAGAAACGAGGAAACCGCGAAGCTCGGGCGGGGAAAGCTCTGCATTATAAAGGGGCCTTTATACCAGCCAAGCATGTTAGCCGTGTCACTCTTCATGCAGCGCAAAGCCCGCCATGAAGTCCAAAGTCTGCGAAACTTACCCAACACCACTGAAGGTACCAACGCCAACGCCAGTGAAGAACCGGCCGGCGTAGAGAAGCGACGGGTTATGGAAGCTGGCCCCGCAGTACATGTAGCTACCCAGGACGACCCAACAGCACGCCATGAACATGGTGTATTTGCGAGAAAAGACCTCCCCGAGGACGCCCGAGGTCAGAGACCCGAGAATACCACCGAGCTGGAGGACCGAAGTCAGCCAGCCGGTGGCGCTGGGAGACGACACGACCGAGGGGAAGTTGTCGACAAAACGATGCATAACCAGAGACTGGCCGAGGACGCCCTGTTGGTAGCCATACTCGAAGCCGCCGAAGCTATTTTTGGTTGGATGGTCAGTTCGCGCTCCC